GTTTAGAATATCTTTGGATGAAAAAAGTTATTTACAAAAAAGTATAATTTAAATAGGTTTTTCCTAATTTTCTTCTGATTTTTTGGGGGTCATTGACCATTTGACCTTATGGTTAAACCGCCACTGCTTTATTCCATGACATTTTGACAGAAAATGACATTTGGATTCGAATAACATATCATATTTTGTCAACTTTTAACATTTTTGCTTAAAAAATCGTATTTTAAATTTCAATCTAGAGTGCTTTGACGGGGTTATAAACACTTAATTTTGGTTAAATTTTAATCAAGGAGCCTTGGAAAATAGATCTGATTGTCTAATATTTTTCGTGCCTTGTCATAGCAAGTTAAAAGATACTCAAATTATATTTTTAATCATATCTCAATTTTTAAACAGGACAATATTTCTACAAATAATTTGGTACCACACATTTGGTATTTCGAGTCAAATTGTCTTTATGAACCGCATGTGCATATGCAAAAATGTCAAAGTTGACATATGATATGTCATTTTATCGAATATCATGTATGTCTATCGAGTAAAGTAAAAAAAATACCGAGGGTGTTATTAATTTGTCATATTATACTAACATCTCTACAAAAAAAAAAAAATCCTATACGGGTATTTCGCAACTGCAATGGAAGAAAATCTACAAAATAAAATAGTTATTTTTTTGTAAACACTTCTGCGTTAAACCCAAACGGACACTACTTGTTAGAAGTTATGCTTACAGTAATACAAATTTGCCTAACAAAGAAAAAATGCTTATCGTTTCGGAAAGTTTATCTCTTTCCGTGGTCGGAAGCAAAAAATACAAAGAATAAAGAAAAAAAAAACTATTTAAAATATTTAAATTCGACTATTTGATAGCCTCTAAAAAGAAAAATAAAAAGAGGCTTTTTAATTCAATCTAATTAAAATAAATGTATTGCTCATGCATCTGTAGATGTTAGTAATGTATGGCAATCGCTTCTTTGATTTTAAAAACATTTTTTTTTGTTTGTTAGAGAAGAGGGGAAGCGATTTACCACCGAAGTGTGGGGTTCGATGCGACGATTTTAAAGAACATAACATAAATAAACATAACATACGAAAAATTTAAAAATAATCATACAGAAAGTTTGGGGCTTTTGGTTTTACCTTATTAAGTAATTGTTATCAGGTAGTAATTGTTAATTTTGAAATTTAACTTGATATAATATCATTTTAACAGAACGTCAACGGTTTCTTGTAGACGTATCTGTTTTAAAAAAGTATAATGTTCTCAAATAGTTCAATTTAATTATTTTAAATAGTTTTTTTCTTTATTCTTTGTATTTTTTTGCTTCCGACGACGAAAATAGATAAACTTTCCTAAACGTTAAGCATTTTTTTTTGTTAGGCAAATTTGTATAACTGTAAACATAACTTCTGACAAGTAGTGTCCGTTTGGATTTAACGCAGAAGTGTTTACAAAAATAACTATTTTATTTTGTACATTTTCTTCCAGTGTAGTGGTGAAATACCCATATAGGATTTTTTGGAGAGATGAATACGCCACATATGTATAGACATTTTTATATACTAACATACCAATTTTCGTTTTTACCAGAAAAAAAAAAATAAAAGGGGTAAGCCACTTTTGAGACGCACCCGGTATATAATGTAATAATTAATAATAATAGTAGTGAGATAATAATAATAAAAAGTATTATTGAACCATAAATTAATATTGAAGTAAAATATTTTATGTATAGGATTTTAACAATGTTTGGTAAGTACAACTAATAAAACTATTTTGTAGCAGTTTTATGGGCATACAAATTTATTTTTATTTAACGTATGCAGTATAATTACTCAAATTCAAGGACGCACACAAATTCCGTTCAACACGACCTTGTACACCGAATTTTTCAGATAAAAAACGACACTGAAAAACAAATTTAAAAATACCCTCGTACATATCGGTTTTGTGTAACTAACCGATGCTTTTCAATAATCTGGAATCTAAATTTGTACCTCGACTTCGCCGTGCGAGCCTCGGTTGCGTAACGACGCCTAGTCAAAAAATAGCCAGCGCGCGGATTTATGAGTTTAGACTGTGACGTGGTGCGCTAGAAGTTAGTGGGAGAAGCACCTCTTCTCTCGTTTTTCGTAAACGATTCAATTCGAGCAGCTTCAGTCAGTGGCCGGTTCGCAAAAGTAAATATGGGTAAGCCCCAGCACGATATATCATTATAATTTTAAATTTTCGAAGCCTTAATTTGGACAGTGTGGTGAAACCAGTGGATTTTATTGTTGTGTTTATCTATAAATCAAATTACTTCATTTGCAAACAGTTTAAATTCAGTATTAATTACAAAAATAATACTTTCATTTAATTAAAATTATGTGCTTAATTTTTTTTATTTTCATAATTTTAGGGACTATGATCGTCATTTTATTATAATATTTTTTAAACTTTGAATACATTGTGTCAGGTTTATATGTTTTTAATTTGAGTTATATATTTAATAATTTGTTTTTATTAATGTAAATAAACTGCTATTAATGCAAGTCAATAAGTGTTTAACAATACATAGCTTTTATAATATATCTTTGGATGAAACTAGTCAAAATAATTTTGTTTATTTTGAGCTACCACCCACTGTGTTTAATAATACCACAAATATAAGAATATCAAATTACTCAATTTAAAAAAAAGTAATACAACAATCGCTTTAGATAAGCACTGTTCTTAGTCTCTTTAAGTTTAATAATACATATTTTTGCAAATTTTAGAATAATTATTTTAGTACCCTGATTAATATTTTTTTAATTTTGAACATACTTTCTTGGTAATAGTACTGTACATGCTTTTGATCTAAAATTGTGTGCAGTTTTTATATGCATTGGATTCTTTTGTCCAATCTTGTACTTGAGGACGGTTGTAATTATAATTCAGCAGTAAAAATAAACTGGAATTATTAAAATAATATGAAATGATCTAGAGTCAATTTTTAATGAACCATATATTCATCTCTCTACATTCAAACAAAAGTTATATCATATTTTGTAATAAGAAATAAAGCTTTTATATTTATCAGCAATATATTTAGCTTGGCTACTTAATTTATAATTTAATTATGATTTAATAGAAATGGTTCAAACTTTCAATAGAAAGATTAAGCAAAAAATATATGAACAAAACTAAAGAGACTGCAGAGAGATTTTAATAAGGCTTACTTGAATCTTAATTTTTCAGGGCTATTCTGTTTATTTAACATTTGAAATAAGGTAGGATAGGCTCAGGACTTTGCTGGTTTTGTTTTACGTTGAGTCAGTCAATGGTTAATAATTATATAAATTAATTAAGAGACGTAATACATACTTCTCAAGTTAAGTTAATGAAATTATTTTGTACACAACAAAAATATACAAATATACTATTGAAACAACTAAGTAAAACTCAAATAAGATAATAATAAAATTAAAATATCATAATAATTTTTGATAAGTAGTACAACATAGGCCATAAATGGAAAAACAAAAACACAACTACTATACTCTAATAGTTGTTTATAATTGATTATTTTACTTCTCGCAACAAATGTAATTACTGGAAAAGTTTTAAAAATACTTACTGATTAGTTTCTTGTTTTAATATGAGAACTATTTTTGAAGCCTCTTCCTAACATTTACAATAATCTGACCTGCAATTCAAAACCCGATTTATACACTGTAAATAATTTACCACTCAATTAGATAATAGACTGAAAATAAGTATAGTATTTACAAAAAAAAACACAAATTGCCTAACTCACATTCGCATAAAAACAAAATTGTAAAAAGAGAAAATTCTAAACCAACTGTCAAAAATGGAGATTCGATGACGTCAATGAATGTTTAAAAATAGCAATTGAATTATTTACTTCTATGCAATGTAATTAATGAAAAGATAAATAAAATGAAGTAAAGTAAATCAAAATATTAAGAAAATTAAATAAAGAATTGGTTGAGTCGGCAGAACTAGAAAAAAATGTAAATAATAATTAGTTGTGTATAAAGAATATACCTATACAGGGTGTTTCAAAAAACATTTGCCATCTCTCGTTGGGAGATTCCTCACGGAAAAATAAGATTTATGCTTTTTTGTTTTGTAGCTACAGGGTGTTTACACTAACAGCAATTTTAAATAAAAAAAAATAATTACATAAAACCTAATTTTAAAAAGATTTAACATCCTGTAACTCTGAAACTATGTATATATTTCTATTCCCATGTTTATAGGAAATTTTTTCATTTTTTTATGAAGAATCAATGAGTACCTATTTAAAACTTTAGCAAGTTAATGATATCAAAGTTTTTTAAAGGTTGCTATTAGACTCGAATCAAGGCAAATTAATAAAATTGCGTTTATCTCATCAAGGAGGCCGAAATCTTTTTGATAAGCAAAATATCAAGAGACAACTTTTAATCGGCATTAAACTGCTTACACTATTTTGCTAACAAGAGAAAAAATCAATGGCGTATTTGCTTTTTTTGCAAGATATTCCAGTGATAATCCATATGCACCATATGATATGCATCCCTAGTTAATACGTCGACACTCTTTTAGCTTCAAAATATGTCACATTTATAATAACTTTTACCCTCAAAATTTTATTCGAAACGCTAAAACTACTTGGAAGAAAATTATAATAAATCGAAAAAATATCAAGACTTAAACACTCTGTAGCTATGTTAGCTCGGACCTATGTTAATATGAAAAATAAATCTTATTTTTACGTGAGAAATCTCTCCACAAGAGATGGAACATTTTTTTTGAAATACCCTGTATATAAAAAACAAAATTATTCAAATTTTAATTCATTTTAAGCGACATCATAGATAATAAACTAAACATTTTAGACAATACCATAGTGTGTCCTCGAAAGAAGTCTTCGAAAATTTAAAAAAATCTTAGCACAACCCAAAAAATTCGTGGCTCTAACCCAAATTGTAGACTTTAGTCTTGAACCCTATTCTTCCCTTTTGATTAGCTTACCACGTAACAAAACCGAGACCTTTTGACGCCGATGCCGCTTGGAGAGACCACATCGACCGCGTCAAGGGTCGCGAACCCAGCCAGTGGCCCAGCAACATCTTCCACACCACTTACCCGTTCTCGCGCCTACCCACTCTACTTGGTCTACAGCAAGAGGCCCCCACCAGCTGCCGACAAATACGACCCCCACCGCTCCTGGTTGGACCACTTGGACCGTTTGGCCGAACTGGACAAACTGTACCCGTCCCTGTGGCCTCTTACCGGAAGCAAACTGAGTCCAACACCCATTAAGGTCAGTACCATTTAAGATATACATACAGGGTTCGGCAATAGTGCGTCGGGTATCTGTAGCTTCTAGAATAAAAAAAAACTTAAGAATTTTGTTAAACTGCAAGTCTAAAGTATGTAGGAAATCTAGCATGCATTTCATTCCATATTAGAAAGAACATCAGGATAGATCAATATGAGGCAAAGTTTGGTTTGGTTTGGCAAATAGCACAAGTTTACAAATTCGTGTCAACTTTGGGACCCGAGCAGATGAGAACGATTCTTAACGTTATTTGATGCCCTGAACTCAGATCTTCAATCCCTTTGTCAAGATTGGCTCTAACTTTCGAGTTAGTGCATGGCAGTAGCACTGCGCTCTTATAGCGGCCCGGGTAGTTGACGCACGGTCAGTTGACGACGTTGCATTAAACATCATTTGGATTTGTATTGTGTTTGTGCTGCGGAACGTGTGAAAATGCAGAGAAAACGTTGCAAAGTCGATTCAAAGCCTCAATCTCGAAGGACCAGCTTTCCAGTACTTAACCAAGTTGTTTCCAAAACTGTCATACGCAAAAATCAAAGAAGGAATATTTGTCGACCTGATATTTGAAAACTAATGGCTGACGCAACGTTTACAAAATGTTTAACTCTTGATGAAGCAGCAGCCTGGGCATCGTTTCAAAGTGTTGTTCACAACTTTCTCGGTAATCATAAATCACCGGATTACAAGCAAGTAATCGACAATTTGTTGCAAAATTACGACAAGATTGGAGCTCGAATGTCTCTCAAGATACATTTTCTCCATTCACATCTTGATTTTTTTCCACAAAACTTGGGCGACACGAGCGACGAGCAAGGAGAACGGCTACACCAAGATAATATAGCGAAAATCGAAAGGCGATACCAAGGATTTTGGGACGAAGGCATGATGAGCGATTACTGTTGGACCCTAATCCGTGAAACAGATCTCAAGCAGTATAAAAGACTCAGTTCGACCTCTGTTCATTTCTGATTTATATTGTTTAATTCAACAAATGACCGTTAAGGGTCAAAAATCGTAAAATAATAAATTTATTGAATATTTCGAAAACTAGAACCAATCTTAAAAAATGGACTGCTGATTTGGATTCAACTCCAAAAAATATCTTAGAAATTGCTTTTAGTTGCTCAGGTCCAAAACCGTGTATACTTGTGTAATCAATAGCAGGATTAGTTTGGCAAATAACCAAACAGTATAACATTGAAAATGTTTAGTCTGAAATTTCTCGAAGAGGCGTCTTAACAACAAGAGAAAAAGTACTTCTGCCAGGCATTGCGGAGTCGGTATACTGGAGAAAAAAAACTCCTCTAAATGTATGATTTAAGGAACATAAAAAACATACACTAAGTTGTGAAACAATTAAGTCAAGTATTGCAGATCTATCAGACTATAGACTATGCCAGAAACTGGTGTAAGCTCTAAAGTTTATCGTAATGGAAAAACCGAGCTTGGTTTTAATTTAAAGAATCAATTTCTATATCAAACAATAACAACATCTTTAGCAATCCTAGTATGGAAATGTTCACAATATTACAACTACTTATAAAACGTACCAATCGTTCTCAGTGGAACACCTCACTTCACTCTGGTCTATACATCTTTTGGCTAATTTTACTGAGCTTATAAGCTCAGTTCTTTTAAGATTTTGATTAGTTCATATTTGATAGCGGTCAATGATATGACGTTTACTGAAACATTGCTAATAAATTATCAAACTATAGGATAAATAAATGTTGAAAATTAACACTACTCTTATCTATTTTAATTCTATTCATGCTTAAATTTTCGGTAGTTTATAAATGAACTTTAACAACTTATTGACTGGACAGTTACTCTAATCCAACTGGTGAGTCATTCTGCGGTATGTGTAGTTACTAACCAGTGACTCAAGAAAGCAAACGATCGAGCCAAGGTTTCTTTCGACTGTCAACATTAAATAACGCCAAGGTTATTTATTTACTCGAACGAAAGTTTGTAAATTGTTATTTTTAAAGTCTTTAAAATAACCTGTACGAGGTTTGGAAATGTGTAAAAGCCCGTCTGCACATAATGATTTACCTGTCAGGTAAAACGGATTAATAACTAGTGTATACACTGGAAATTTTACCTGCGATTCTATAAATTATAGCATTGTGTTAGTGAAGTTGAAAAGAAAAAGTCATGGAATTTTACTACAAAATTTTATTTATGGTTTAAATTTCATTATTTGTAAACACACAAAACTAATTGTGAAGATTGTATCGTTTGGTAATAATTGGTAAATGTGCAAGAACATATGAATATGTCGATAACATAAAATCTCTGCCGAAAATTAAATAAATGGCTTTAACCATGTCATAAAAGAGGAGCAAAAAGTGTGGATCTTAACAATCTCCTGAAGGAGATAGTAGAATCTCTGCTGATTTAAGTTGAAAATTCTGACGACACTGACTTCAATGAGGATGATTTATAGTTACATATTATTAGGTATTTTAATTATTACATATACCTAACATTAATTGAAATGTTTTTCTAAACGTGTGACATTGTTTTTTTGTAGTTTTCTTATTTATGATTTGTAACCTGTTACATTCATTTAACAATAAAAACATTAGATTTCTTATATATCTCGTATAATCCAATGTTACTGAAAATAAACTAAAATCATGTGCACTCCCCCGGAAGATCACAACACTGCTATAAAAATCGGAGAAGAACTATTGGAATATGTAGCGGAATTCAATTACCTCGGCTGTTTGATTTCGGAAAACGCCAATATCGACTCTGAAATTCAGCAGAGGATTAGCAGCCCCTTAAGAGCATTCTGGAAATTAAAAGATATCTAGGGTTTTCTACAACCATGACTTGAGCACAAAAACGAAACTTGCAGTGTACCGAGCAATAATAATCCCCACTATGTTATATGGAAGCGAAATCTGGGTGCCGTACCGCCGACACATGAAGGCATTAAACAAGTTGTAACAGAGACACCTTAGACAACTTATAAGAATCAAATGGTTCCATCATGTTTAAAACGTATCGGTCCTTGAAAAAGCTAACTGCGAGAATATATAGTCTTGGTTACAAAATCGTATTTAAGATGGACTGGTCACGTATGCAAAATGCAAGAAAACCGCACACCAAAATCTCTGCTTTACGCTGAGCTTGTAGACGGGAATAGGAGGTCAGGTGGACAACTCGAAAGGTACAAGGATATTTTCCACGAAAACTTACGGGAGTTAACATGCAGAATGACTGGGAAGAAGCAGCTCACAATAGATCGCAATGGAGAACAATTGTAAACTCAGTCAACAGCGACAACCAAAAAGTAAAGAGGCAACAAAGCAATGAGATCTTTGAATGTCCGGATTGCGGTAGACAGATAATATCACGTATCGGGCTTTTCAGTCACAGAAAAGCTCATGAAAGAAAACGCCTTGCGTGACCATCTTCTGATGCGTGTCATATACTCGTCAGCGAGTAATAGCAGTATGCATGTATGTATGTATGTATGTATGTATGTTACTGAAAATGCCAATAACGGATAAATACATAAATATGTATTTCTCTATTGTAATACGAGAGTTTGCTATTGTTATCGACAAACGTACAGGATGTGTTCATGTACAAACGTGATAAAGCTGTCTGAATTTCATTGCAGATATACCCTTAAAATAAAATTAGTCCTATCTTTTGTCATGTCACACTGTATACGACAAGCACAAGACAATCATTATAATGCAAAAGGCGTTTTGCATTTATAATGACGGTCTTGTGCTCTCAATCTTTTAGAAATAGCCTATAATCGTTGATTGAAAGAACTGCTTATTTCCTTCAATCAACGCTATAATATTGTGTTTTCGTTTGCAGCCCGGTCGCTACGCTCCCCGCCCCTCCGAGGTGGCCTTCAACTACGCCGGCCAGCCCATCTGGTCCCCAAGTAAGAGCCTCTTCAGCGACCTGCTCAACCCGTCGCCCTCGCTGCCCATCTCGGCGGTAACGCGCGACCCCTTCTGGTGGGACTCGCCCTCCCTAAAACCGGTGTCGGCTCGCACTCCCTTCGGCAGGTCGCCCTTCTATCTGCGCGACTCCTACCTGTCGCCGGTCAAAAGGACGTTCCTGTGGGACAAGCACCCCATCAGGCCGTTCGGTAAGTCAGCTGCCGGCTACTGACCGGGCACGGATCGATGGTTTTTAATCGATGCGCGTTCAGTACCGTATCGATTAAAGTCGCCGAGTCCGAGCGGTGGGAGAGTCTAATATAAGCACTTTGGCGTAACCGATATATACAGGGTGATTTGCGACGGTGGTAGGTTAGACGTTTATAGAGAACGGGTGATGATTTTTACATAAAGGTGTTTCATCATCGATCTAAATTATTTCCAGCGTTACATCAGTGATGTCGCTTTTATTGAAAAGGGCTTGTATCTTTATTATTTTAAGATGCGTCCAGACCTGACGAGACGAGAGCGAAACGAGCGCGAGACATTCCAAATTTGCCAAGTGTGGACGGGACACCCACGGAGCCTTGTTGCTATCCGTTCTCTGTCGGTTTTGCGATGGCCGATCAAAGAAAGCTCGCGGCACAGTCTGGTATACTACCGATATATACAGTATATAGTCTTTGGTAGGCTCGCTCGACTGCGAGATATTAGCTCTGATATATGAATTTCGACTACATATTTAAAATTAAATAATCTCAAATTTTTTAAATGGTACATCGTATTTATTATCATTTTTTCGGATAGAATTTATAAATTCACTGATAATTTTTACTCTACCGAAATCTAACATTTCTTTAAACAAATTGAATTATTACAAAATCTATTAATTTTAGATATACTTTTGAGACGCTTTAGGTCATCCTAAAATAGGATTGATTGACGTATTCAATTGTTTTCGGTCACTTTCTGTTTCACCGGAAATGACTACAGCTTTTGATTTTTAAATGGCACCCTCGTTATTTTTTTACTTCATTTGATAGAAAATAACATATTGAATAGAATGACATATCATAATATGATATATGAAAGTTAACAATTTATGTCAACTTTTAACATTTTCGCATATGGTTTATTTGATATTATAGAATGCGGTTGATAACAAAAAATTGACTCGAAATATCAAGTGTGTGGTATCAAATTATCCGTAAAAAATGCCTTTTCCAAATAAGCTAATGAGCCATCCTCGTTCCATTTGAAAAAAATGAGATATCATTAAAAATAGGATTTGGGCATCTTTTAACCGGCCTGGACAAGACACTAAAAAGTCATTAGACGATCAAATCTATTTTTCCAAGGCTCCTTGATTAAAAATTAGTGTTTTTAACATAACCATGGCACTCTAGATTCAAATTTAAATTGCAATTTTTTATTAAGCGAGAATGTCAAAAGTTGACATATGATATGTCATTCTATTCAGAATGTCATTTTCTATCCAATAAAGTAAAAAATAACATTTAAAAATCAAAAGTTGTAGTCATTTCCGCTGAAACAGGAAGAGACCAAAGACAATTGAATACGTCAATCAATCCCAATTTATGTCATATACTAATATACCAAATATCATTTTTTATCTGAAAAAATATAAAAGTTATAGGGGTGAGCCACTTTTGAGACGCACCCGGTATAATATCATATGCAAAAAAAGTTTTAAAATATGCTTTTTAGACTTTCCTATAACTTTTCTATTTAAAATTTTGTTCTAAAAACGTTAAAAATAGTATTTTGTAAAAGACTTTTGTAAGAGGGTTAAAGGGGAAAATAACCAAAGGGGAAAACCCGACGATGAATAAAATACGACGAACCAAATAATATATTAAAGATACAAACATTTATTACTGTATGCGTTATTATTTGGCCATTGTTTGTTATATTCAGTTACAATTTAATATGTGTTTGGGTTCCTTTCACTATGATCCAATTCGCTTGTCTCGTTTCAGACTTGCCTCAAAAAATGGATTGAAGATGTCTCGCTCTCGTGTTGCTCTTGTCTCGCTCTTGCTTCGCTCTAGTCTCGTCAGGCCTGGGCGCACCTTTAAAGGGAACACCCGGTATATTCTAAGCGGCAAGATTGCATCGCTGAAAATATTTACATAGATGGAGTAAATGCCTTTTTGTATAAATCCAAATTTTGAAGCACATTCTTCCGATTCTCCATGAACGCCTCATCTTCAATCGCCGTGAATTACTCTATAGAGTAAAGTGTCTTTCGTTAAATTGAAGCTTTGTGTTAAGTCTCTATATTTCTCATAGCAGCAGGAATAATAACAATGTTAATACAAAACTAATTTCGAACTTTCATTGTTTTGAGTTAATTTAACTTACACCACGTTTCGGTCAGATATATTACTGACAGTTATCAAGTGTGAACTGGCTAAGCTCATAATGGTCAGCAACGCTATAGCAATTCAGACTTAATAACAGTCAGCTGATAACATCTGATCAAAACGTTGTATAAGTTAAATTAAATAAAGATAATAAAAGGCCGAAAATCTTTTATTTTCAATACTAAACAATGTGTCTACAGCATTCAATAATAACAACGTAGTATATTTTTAACACTCTTTGTTTATCTTCACCTCTATTAGCCTATGTTTTCCAACAGCGATAAAAAGTCAACTGATTAGATAAAATAAAATTGTTTTAAGTATAGGGTAGTAATTTTAAGAACAAAAAAGATAGCAAGAGGTTGCCTGATAAAATATTCAAAAAATAATCATGTGAGTTAAAACTTTTCGAAATTATATTTAATAATGGCACCCTTATTTCTAGATGAGGCAAAAATAAATCAATTAATTCAACGAAAGACATCTTTAGCCTCGTCTTTAGCTATATTTTTATTTGTAATTATTAACAATAAAGCACGCATTTAACTAATCGTTTAACTTTAACGCTTTAAGCTTAGGTTATTAATATTAGTTAATAGTAATTTTACAATGGTCGTAAATTTATTAAGTAGATTACTAAACACATTTTACTTTTTACTTGCCACTAGTTTCCTAAAAAATGTACATATTTATCTGGGTATATCATTATATTGGGTATATACAGGATGGATCAACGATAGTTCTCAAAAGAAGATCAAATACCTTTATATAAAAATTAATATTTTCTAAAAATCAATATTAAATGTAATGTGAAGGTGGGTTTTGTATAAATATTGCAACATATTATTTTTCTAATACGTTTTAATTACATTAAAAGAATTACTTTTGTAAATATTATAACATATTAGAGAGGAATATTTTCTCATTCCTAAGGTCTACAGGGTGTTTCAAAAACCTTGTGCCTCTCTCTTGGGGAGATTCCTCTCGTAAAAATGAGATATATTTTTCGTATTAACATGGGTCCGATTCTGCTTTGCTTCCTAGCTACAGCGGGTTAAAGTTTTCATCTTTTTTCGATTTATTATAATTTTTTTCAAAGTGCTTTTAGCGATTCGAATGAAATTTTGAGGGTAAAAGTTACTATAAATGCGACATATTTTAATGCTAAAAAGTATCAATATATTCCCCAGGGACGTGCATATGAATTACCACTGGAATATTTTTCTAAAAAAAATATGTGCGCTACTGACTTTTTGTTCTTTTGTTGCCATAATTGTGTACACCTACTGTATGCAGTTGTTTGGGTCATTCTCTGTACTAACCAATGTCATTTATTTAATATAACACTTAATAGATATTTATTATAACATTTCGTTGATATTGTTTATTATAACACTTAATATACAACTTATTAATTCTATTCATAAGTATTTAATAGAATCCAAAAGGTAAAATTAACACCATTTAGTACTTTTACGTAGGTACTTAATGTCTACGTTTGTGTCGATTTCATTTCATTCAATTTTTATAGTATATCTTAACATTACTAAAACAAATATAAAAAAATTAACTCAGTAGTTTGTACCAAGCCAAAGTGGTTAGTAAAAAAATAACTTTTATATGTACATAACAAACATACTATACCGGGTGCGTCTTAAAAGTGGCTCACTCCTATAACTTTTTTATTTTTTTAGATAAAAAAACGAGATTTGGTATGTTAGTATATGACATAAATTAGGATGGATTGACGTATTTAGTTGTTCTTGGTCACTTTCTGTTTCAACGGAAATGACTACAACTTTTGATTTTTAAATGGCACCCTCGGTATTTTTTTACTTTATTCGATAGAAAATGACATTCTGAATAGAATGACATATCATACGTTGGCATGATTTAAATCATGCCAATCCTGTTATTCACACAGTTATTTTTTTTAGACATAGTACATGCTCAATTTTTAATTATATTATTTATATTAAAATAAAGCAATTTTTGAAACTTATTAAGTAATATATACCCAGATTGAAAAATATGCAATATACAGGGTGATTCACAGCCATGGCAGATACAAAAACGAGATTTGGTATTATTATATTATATTGGTATTAGTATATGACATAAATTAGGATTGATTGAGGTATGCAATTGTTTTTGGTCACTTCCTGTTTCACCGGAAATGACTACAAATTTCGATTTTTAAATGGCACCCTCGGTATTTTTTTTACTTTATTCGATAGAAAATGACATTCTGAATAGAATGACATATCATATGTCAACTTTAAACATTCTCGCTTAAAACAAAATTGAATTTTAAAATTCAATCTAGAGTGCCATGGTTATGTTAAAAACACTAACTCTTAATCAAGGTGCCTTGGAAAAATAAATTTGGTTGTCTAATGTTTTTAGTGTCTTGTCCTGGCCAGTTAGAAAATGCTCAAATCATATTTTTAATCATATCTCAATTTTTTCAAATGAAACGAGGGTGGCTCATTAGCATATTTGGAAAAAGCATTTTTTTACGAATAATTTGGTACCACACACTTGGTATTTCGAGTCAAATTTTCGTTACGAACCGCAAGTTGTAATTTCAAATAAACCATATGCGAAAATGTCAAAAGTTGACATATGATATGTCATTCTATTCAGAGTGTTATTTTCTATCGAATAAAGTAAAAAGTACCGAAGGTGTTATTTAAAAATCAAAAGTTGTAGTCATTTTCGGTGAAACAGGAAGTGACCGAAAACAATTGAATACGTCAATCAATCCTAATTTATGTCATATACTAACATACCAAATCTCTTCTTTTTTAACTGTAAAAATAAAAAAGTTATAGGGGTGAGCCACTTTTGAGAAGCATCCGGTATGTTAAGAAAATTTAGCCAAAAGTAAAGCTTTGTAAATATTTGTTTCAAAAATAATAATTGTAGATTCAATCATCCAAAATGCATTTAATTACTTAACAAGAATTTACAAGTCTATTTATTTGTTTATTTGTGAATTTCTAAAACAACATATTGGTTACGCCAATGCTTATCTCACCAGAATGGGAGTGCGCTACTGACACTGTTTTAAATTGTATATTATTCAGGAAAAATCACATTTATTTTTATTGCATTTAAAAGATTTAATCGCAGCGATACCGCCATTTATTGCATTCCATTTCCAGCAATTCCTAGATATCCTATAGGTAACTTATCACTCTAGGATTTCTCAAAATTGGTAATATTTTTTCTTATTTTTTGATGTTATAAAATTAGTCGTCCATCCTTATAGTGTGTCTTTTATCTGTGTTGTGGTATTTTTTTAATTTTAAATGTTTTGTAGTTGTAAAATTCATCATTTATCTTTGCCTTCACTTGAGCAAGATGTATGCAATTTTATTAAAGTTTCCTAATAACTTAAACAATGATTTCTAAATATTTAAAATAAACCTAAATAGGTATCTAATTAAACGACAGTATTAAAAAGGAAATACCCGATTTTAATCTGTTACCTACTGCATTTTTTAATTTTCTGTTTATATTTTATAAAAATACGTAGGTAAAATTTAACAGAAAATGTCATTAAAGTCTACTTATCCTTTAATAAACAAAAAAAAACGGCGTCAGATATGGCTTGGAAATAAAAATCGCTGTCATTTTGTATGTAAAATTACATACCGTGCTGGCAACTGTTACTTTTGGGTCGGCATTTACATGTGTGGAAGTAAATCGCATAGGGATCTTATTAAGTCGGAGTGAGAGAAATGCGACCGACCGACGCGACGCGCGACGGTGTGCTGTTGCGGCGTTGCCGATACGCCTTTCCCTATCATGTAAAGTAAAATCACGATCGCAAACCGCTTATTTTTAAAAGACTTTTTTTTCAAGAGATAACTAGAGAAAATCATTAGACATGTTTCTGAGTATCTGAAATGGAAGTATAAGGATATCGTTAGGGTGTCATTTTTTTTATAACGAGAAAACGTCAGTAATCGCGATAATTTTTTGCCAACTCAACTTTTTGCCATAACTCAAGAACCACTTTAGATATTGAAACTTTTTTTTATTTTCAAGATCGGATATTTTACAATATGTTTACATAAGAAAAATTCGATAAGGTTGTTTTTTCTATTCAAAAATTGTAAACAATCCATCCATTTACTTTTAGAGCATAGCAATTTTCAGCAATCGTGTAATTTTTTTATTGATAAAGATTTTCACATACTGTCTACAAAGAAAATACAGCAGAAATATTAACAAAGTTCTTGAAAAAACTCCAATCTATTATTCCTAATAGATTTAGAGATATCGATTTTTGAATTCAGAGTTCTAATAGCGCGACCACTATCGAACACCCACTCAATTCCACTTATTTTTACCAAAAATGCAAGTGTTTCTAGCTTGCAGTTAAAAAAATTCAAGCTATAGGGAAAATTACAACGATTCGTTAATAAATGAACAAATTAAGTATCACGAGACGTAATTAAATCGTGAAGCTGAACGCATGATGTACACTTTCCCTGGAACTCTAAGTACTGACAGAGGTACTGATTGGGTCGACCGGTCAACTGCGACAAATCTGCTATATCCCCTTCCACGTCTCTTAGCGATGTGCACAGTTTCTCTTTATTTCATACGTTTGGCAACGTGTTTACTGTCCTCTCTTTGTTCAGTACATTATAAACGCATTGTACTCTTCTTACATACGGAAATCCCGACCCAAGACTAACCTTTGCCAGCTCTTAGTATACATATGACGAATGTCATCGACCGTCCTTTCAAAGCCAACTTGACACCGTTTATTTCGATTGTACGGTATTTTTTTTTTCATACACTTAATGTCTGGGATTTCAAAATAATAAAAAAAATTGGTAGTTATCTTCGTTTGAAACAGATCTAAACTAAAATGTATTTTTTTGCATACCTACCTCTTAAATAGAATACTTTTTGGAACATATATATATATATACTTTACCTACCTATCGTAGTTTCAGTCCTTCCTTTATCTTAAAAATTACATAAAAAATGTGATAGATCCCCACTAATAAATATCCCTATAGACTAGCATTTATTATATGTATATTCCCTTATAACTTTTGTCTACTCGTATAATTCAACAAATTCTTTTTTCAGCTGCCGTCTACTAAGTTCTAAAACCGTAAGAAGTCGATGATCACAACTCAAAAATAATATCAAGCGACTCTGACTGAAAAAAAAATCTAAAAAAATGCAATCTACTCGCATTTTTTGAAGTATTGTAATCAACGACAGGTGTTCATTTACTTAATATATCAATTGTCATCTTTAACATCAAAACGAGTGCCTTATAATATACAAAATAAATATATTTATTTGATATTATAAGTTTTATTTTCACATATATTTGTACTCGCCCTTTGAGACCCATATAAAGATGTACGTGTCTCTCCATTCCATCTAAGCAAAAAAGTCTTATATGGTCTCAAAGGGACGAATTCATCGTTTTATTTTATTGTTATGTTATATTTATTTATTATATTGGTCTAGATTTTTGGGGCATATGTAAAATAAGACAAATAAATTTATTTAAACATTACACTTGATTTTTTTTTCAATATTATACTTTTTCCAATATTATTACTTTATATCTACTTCTTAACCCATGTTATAACATTCTAGATGCAACAGAATATTCTAATATTAAATACAGTACTTTCCGTTTATGATTTCATATTTTGAATTTTCAGCGCAATTTTGCTTGTATTTTTAGTTGCCACCACAATATAAAACTTGTTTAATATTTTTATTTAAGAATAAAAATATTTTTAATCTTAATTTAATTATATATCAGAGAAAATTTTCTTTTTTGTTATTATAATGATAAAAAATGTCTATACCTATGTGGCGGATTCATCTCTCCAAAAAAATCCTTCATACGTATTTCGCCACTGCACTGCAAGAAAATCTAAAAAATAAAATAGTTATTTTTTGTAAACACTTCTGCGTTAAACCTAAACGGACACTGCTTGTCAGAAGTTATGTTTACAGTTATACAAATTTGTCTAACAGAGAAAAAATGCTTAACGTTTCGGAAACTTTATCTCTTTCCGTCGTCGGAAGCAAAAAAATACAAGGAATAAAGAAAAAGACTATTTAAAATATTTAAATTCAGCTATTCAAGAACACTTTACTTTTTTAAAACAGATACGTCTACAAGAAACCGACGACGGAAAAAGATAAACTTTCCGAAACGTTAAGTTAAGTGTTTACAAAAAATAACAATTTTATTTTGTAGATTCTCTTGCAGTGCAGTGGCAAAATACCCATAAAGGATTTTTTTATTATAACGATATAAAAACATTTTCAGATTACTTGACAAAATGGTGAATACATTTTTTATATAATTATAGAAATAATAAATTAAATAGTAAAAATATAAATATTTTAGCAATTTAAATATGCAACATATATGCTGTATATAGTGCTTATTTAATAAATAAGTTCTATAAATAAAAATATAGAATACGTTTTTATAAAAATATAGAATATGAAAAATATAGACATTTATAATAATTTAGTTTGTGCTAATACCTATCAGCTAATACCTAACTATAGATAGAGGATATGTTTTATTTTTATATGTTAACTACCTCTTAATATGAGTGTCATCTCCAAAATACTATTTCAAATAGACCATAGCTCTCATTAATTTTAATTAAAAGTTTGATCCAGATTCCAAAACCCAAACAAGGCTTCGATATACAAAATCAGGGTAACATTATAACACTGCGGAATTAAATGACTATACTATTACTATATTTCCATTCATTTAAGTATTAACACAGACTAACTTATATAGTCTATGGTATTAATAATTAATAGATCGCTGAATTATTCTATACCACAGAGTTGTTGTTTCGATAGAGTTTTAGCATTGCCGAAGGTGTGACTTTTAAGTTACGTGATGAAGGGAAAAAGTTTGTCCAGTGTAAAGTTCTGTAGCGATGAACAAGTCTACTGTGAGAGGAAAGTCATACATTTGACATAAAAGGCATATTCTTTAAATGAAACTTATACTAAGTTGGTTTGGTCAGTTCAGGTTATTGGGAAAGTTACCTTATATTTAACAGCTTTTTGAAATATAACTTATATATATAACTTATTAATAACTTCCTTTTATGAGTTTTAATTTTTCGTTGTTGTTTATAATACTTTTATTTTAGTTTCCTTTTAAAAAATTGTAGGAATTAATGTATTTGAGCACAATTCATGCGGCTGTGATACACATTTTATGAACGTTTTTCAACTAGAATCAACAACCTTAAGTGTATAAAAAGTATCTTTCAGTATCTTTTAAAATATATGTTTTTAAAATTTTACATTCTCAAGAGTTTTTAAAAGGTTAATATTATTCATAAAGTTGTTAAGCATATAATTAAGCATATAAGTATATGTTATATGTTATAATGCTACCAAAAAGTGCTGGATCGTCTTATTTCACATATACAGGGTGAGTCTGTGTGAAACAGTAAAAAAAACAAATTGTATTTTAAATTTCAATCTAGAGTGCCATAGCTGTGTTAAAAACACTAATTTTTAATCAAGGAGCCTTGGAAAAATAGATTTGATTGTCTAATGTTTTTAATATCTTGTCCTGGCCGGTTAAAAGATGTCTAAATCGTATTTTTAATCATATCTCAATTTTTTCGAATGGAACGAAGGTGGCTCGTTAGCATATTTGAAAAAGGCATTTTTTTACGAATAATTTGATACCACACACTTGGTATTTTGAGTCAAATTGTCGTTATGAACCGCATGTTACAATTTCAAATAAACCATATGCAAAAATGTCAAAAGTTGACATGTGATATGTCATTCTATTCAGAGTGTTATTTTCTATCGAATAAAGTAAAAAAATACCGCGGGTGCCATTTAAAAATCAAAAGTTGTAGTCATTTCTGATGAAACCGGAAGTGACCGAAAACATTTGAATATGTCAATCAATCCTAATTTATGTCATGTACTAACATACCAAATCTCGTTGTTTTATCGGAAAAAATAAAAAAGTTATAGGGGTGAGCCACTTTTGAGACGCACCCGGTATAGGTACTAAATTCAATGTGTTCAATATTGATTTACACGAGCTAACAGAAACAGCTAGAATTTTAAGAAGAACATTTTAAACGAACTTGCCTTGAAGACATTTTTATCAGGATTAAGGGAGCCTGTTGGTACAACATTACGTTGTATGGGCTCTCAAAATTTAAGGATAATACACTACAGTTTGTGAGCAAAAAATACAAATATTTATTATTTACAAAATTGAAAAAAATTTATGCCTAAACCTCAATTGTTTAATAATTTAGCTAACAACAGTACACATAATTTTAAAACTCAAAATATATTTTCTAATAATTTTAGATCTAAGTTTCAGCCTATTTTCAACCATATAAGTTTAATACTCATAATAACACATAAAATTATTTTGCACAAAAGCCCATTTTTGCACTCACAACCTATTCAAATTAGGTGTAATGTAAATACACAATTTGCAAGTTTTTGGAAAACCAAATGTTTTTAGACCGAATCCAAATTTGCTAAAACTTAAACCCACCCCTATGAGCATTTCAACAAACCCAACTCTAATATATTTATGCCGAATAACAATCCTAATTTTATATAGTTACATAATACCAAAACGGAAAATGAACAAAAATCTGAATCTGAGATTCAGAGTGATAATTTCGTAAACGACTATGAAATTGATTTTTATTATACCGAAAACTTAAACAATTTTTCACAAGAACAAGATAACGAAAATTTACTGGACAAGCAAAGAAACATAACACCAGAAATTATTTTCCTTAATGTGTATAGCCCTAATGAGTTAATTAATACTTTATAGTTAATTTTCCCGAACAAAATATAAAGATATTTATTAATTCAGGTTCAGTTAAATCATTTTTCGTCAGCTGAAAAATTCTATTCGCAAAATATCGTAAAAGATCCATGTATAGTGCCAACAGTTTTTCAAAAATTAGCACATCAATATAGTGCAAATATTCCTATTTCAAGAATAATCAACTTATCTGAAAAACAAAGATTAAAATTCTATTTATTTAAATTTCAACACGTGTTTGATGGGCTTTTAGGGCTTGATAATTTAAAACTTTTACAAGCTAACTTAGATTTTCAAAACGGATTCTTGTTAACACCACACGCCAAAACAATATTACAGTATAATTGCACCCAAACAAGGTTGAATTGGGTTACATTATCGCCACGTGCGAAGCAGATCATTAGAACTAAAACAACTATAAAAAACGGTAAGATCATACTACTTTATAAAAAAAATGCATAATTATAGAAAGATATCCTAGACTTTAACTATAGCTCAAATGGAAAAGCTCAAAAATAAAAAGGGAAATACAACAATTCTGAATAATACCGACAATTCTATTAGTTTAGATTTTTCCAAACCAATCGAAGTCGAAAAATTTGATTCGTTTTTTTTTGCGTTTCAATTAAAAATTTTAATTTTAGTAATTTCGATAAAGAATCTCTTGATGTTCCAAATGACAACAACGACGGACAGACTCTTTACTTAAATGATGAACAACACCCTATTGTAGGTATTCCACTTGAAGGTGGACGTCTACATTCAACTTTGTCCGGACATATAGAATTATTAACCTCAAAAGGCTTCTTAAGAACATCTGTTAAACAACAAATTATTAAACTATTTTAGCATACAATCATACGCTACATTCTTCTACAAAACTAAAACCAATCGAAATTATAAACGGTAAAAAATTATAACTTCTAATCCATATAATGATTCATTCGACCTTAAACTTGATCAATTTCTTTTAAAGAATTATGTAAATGAACATAAAGAAAAATCGAAATTGCTGCATTCACAATGAAAATTTAATTAAACAAAAAGTTAAGTTTTAAGTTATCTGTGAAATAAATAGTAAAGACCGTGACCACCCAGATTTATTTGAGGTAGGTCAAGAAGTTCGAGTCAAGAAACATGTCCGACAAAACAACAGAGTCTCGCGATAAAGTACACCTAAGTAATATTAAAGGACCGCTTAGAAAAATGTATAGTTTTGATTAGTAAATATTTAATTTACAAAATTATAAACTTGTTATCATTTTATTTTTATTTTTAGTTTATTAATCGGCCTAACGCCGGCTTGTCAAGACCAGATTGTAGAAATTAGATGTTTTATTGTAAATAATACTATTACTAATTTATTCGAGGTACCAATGGTACAACCAGACAACCTTATATTCTATTCCAATAGAACATAAGAGTCATTTTAGGGTTATCATTCCAAAACAAAAATATTTTCTAAAAAAAATCACTTCACATTTTCTAATGAGCCCCGTCAAGAAGTATCTGAAAACGATTTTTATGCTAAACCAATGAGCTTACAGAAATCCCAGAAGACGCACCCCCTGTATTGTCAGTTTGTTGGATATGCCAAAATTTACACCAAGAAATTGTCATCAAATCGAAGTACATTTCTACAAATCGATTATCAATCAACTTGACATTGACATCAATGGATACTCTCGACTCCATTCAACAGAAGTACCTAGATTATGCAATATTATTTATTTGATGCGGACTACCTTCAGTTCAAGAAAATTAGACGGATTTGCTACATGAAGAAACCGTTTTAAACTTAATAATAATTTTTAATAAATAAATTTTTCAAAAACGAATTTAGCCGTTCTAGTTATTTAACTGGCGCAGTCGGCGGGATGCTTTTGGGATTCTAGCGTATCGTACGTTCAATTTTTCGTTTAACGATCAACCAAAAACTGTCAAAACAGAGTAGTGATCAAGAAAGTATATTTTGGTCTACCGAAGATTGGTTTTCAGAACGTCAACTCTACAGGGAATTTGACCAGCATCGTCGAATTTCGCAAGAACCAGTAATTTGAGAAGACAGCATCGCTAACCATAGACCTGATTCTCATAGAAAAGGAATGACAAAAACTAAGAGTATCTAAACTGTGTTCCGTTCTTTCACTTTAACCCAAATAGTTTCAATAGGTACTTAGTAGCTTGTCAGAGTCTAATTGATAATTTTTATATTGCAGCTGAATTTGACCGTTCTAGTTATTTAACTCATGTGTATATTTTATATGCCACTACTCAAAGGTATAGGTATATTTGGTAAATACACATTGGCTTATTTCTGAACATATCTATTTTATTATGTCATTACAAGTTAACAGATTATATTATTTATGCCTACTACAACTGATTCGTAAGAAAAAAAAATCAACAAAAATTTGAATGAAAGCACTAATAGTCCCCATTCACTAGAATATTTGGTTTACAGACATGGCATGCGGATTTGGCGTTTAGATCTTTGCTGGATTAAATATTCTCGTTTGGGACAAAATTTGATGTTTATAGCAGTTTTTATACAGATAAATGTTTATCGGAATAAAAATTGCCGCTTAGAAAGAAAGAGCGTTATAAGTCCGTCGATTTTGTCCTTCTTTCATTTTTGGGCTTGTCACGTATGGCCTGGTCACCTTCTTTCATTGGGTTGGTCACGTATGCAGGATGCAAGAAAACCGCCTACCAAAATCTCCTCTTTACGGTGAGTTTGTAGACGGTAAGAGGAAACCAAAAAACCGGGTAGACAACTCAAAAGAAACAAGAATATTTTCCATAAAAACTTCAAGGGAATAAGTTGGAGCTTCAGTGGGAGGAAGCAGCGCACAGTAGAACGCAATAGAGGAGAATTGTAAACTCAGTTAACAACAACAACCAAAAAGTAGAGGCAACAAACTAATCAGATTTTTGAATGTCCGGAGTGCGGTAGAGAGATAACATCACGTATCGGGCTTTTCAGTCACAGAAAAGCTCATGAAAGAGAATGCCTTGCGTAACCATCTTCCGAGGGGTGTCTCACTCGGGTAAAAAATGTACACGTACTGCCAAAATATCCTTCCACTGCTAAGCGACTGCCAGTGACTATGAAGAAGACTGCCTATGACTGTCATGTAATTATTATAGGCGACTGCCATAAGACTGTCAATGACTGCCAGCGACTGCCAAGAAAATGTACATGTAATTCCAATAGTGAGACACCCCTCGCCATCTTCTGATGCGTGTCAAATACTCGTCAGCGAGTAATGGCAGTAAGTAAGTAAGTCTTTCATTTTTTATAGACAAATATAATCTGACAGAGCAAGTCTGTGCATTTGGCATACTACAGACTTGGTCAGTCACACATACACATAGTTTTTATGTGTAGACCAAGACCACAGGCCCAATCCGCAGGCCAAACCATTTTAGTTATTTTTATTCAGTGCAAGTGATCATATTAGTTGAAATCACATTTATATTATTTTTTTCCTAGAGAATCTACCATTAAAGTGACATAGGAATATGCAGCTTTCATGACCTAAAACAAAATTAGAAAAAAATTGTAAAAAATGTCTATTCAAAAAGGTCCTATGGGTATTTCGCCAAATCTAACAAATTAAATATTAACAATTTGTTTCATTTTAACAAAACGTCGGCCGTTTTTATAGACGTGTCTGTTTGAAAAAACTAAAGTATTTTTGAATAGTTCTATTTAGATATTTTAAATAGTTTTTTTTGTTCTTTGTTTTTTATTGCTTCCGACGACCGGAATATCTATACTTCCCTATGTGTTAAGAATTTTTTTGACTGTTAGGCAAATTTGTTTATTAGTAAACCACTCTGATAATGAGTCTCCTTTGGATTAACGCAGCAGTGTTTACAAAAAATAACTATTTTATTTTGTAGATTTTCTTACAGTCAGTGGCGAAATAATCACAGAACTTTTTTGAATAAAAAATTATAGATTTGCGTATATTATACACACTACTAGAGATGAGCAAAACTGCGATTCTCCAATCGCAATTGAAACTGCTATTTCGATTTTTAAATCGCAGATACTGTAACCTGAAACTGCGAGTTTAATATTTACCAAACCAAATTGTTCATAAAAAAATGTTTTTTTTCTAAATATGTCAATAAGTCACCTTCGTTCTACATTGAAAAAAATGAGATATGATACGATTTGAGCATCTTTTAACTGGCCAGGACCAGACGCGAAAAACAACAGACGATCAAATCTATTTTTCCAAGGCATCTTGATTAAAATTAGTGTTTTTAACAAGCCATGACATTCTAGATTGAAATTTAAAATAAGATTTTTTTAAGCGAACATGTCAAAAGTTGCCGTATGATATGCCTTCCTATTCAGAGTCATTTTCTATTGAATAAAGTAAAAAAATACCGAGGGTGTCATTTAAAAATCAAAAGTTGTAGTCATTTCCGGTGTAACAGAAAGTGACTAAAAACAATTGATACGTCAATCAATCGTAATTTATGTCATATTAACATACCAAATCTCGTTTTTTTACAAAAAAAAATAAAAAAGTTATACGGGTGAACCACTCTTGAGAAACACCCGGTATATTATTGATCGTGGCCCTAGAAAATAATACCTTCTCTATAAATTAATAATATCAGAGAGAAAATTCAATCGCAGTTTACTATAAAATGCTTCAATAGACCACAAAATTACATTCGCAACAATATCGAAAATCGCAACTCCCAAAAATTCAAACTCGCAGGTAGAAATCACGGTCCCAGATTATAAAATTCCAATCGCAGGAAAATCGAAAATCGCAACAAAATCGCAAATCGCAACAAAATCACAAATCGCAACAAAATCGCAGCTATAGTAATACTGGATGTCTAAATCGAAACTCGCAAATAGACGAAATCACAATAGCAGTTTTCTTTGAGCGTCAATCGCTGATTGCGATTGCGATTTTCAAATCGCTGCGGTTGAATCACCAGATTGCGTTTTTTTGCTCATCTCCTACCTACTACTACCAATTTTTAAAATATTATAATTTAAGTTGCTTATTTGAATTTATTTTACCGTAATAGCCGTATCGGTTGTCATTGGCGTAAATGGTCCTATAGTAAGTTCTGCTGGTTTTTGCGCTCTCAAAATAATCATCGACATCATCTGACGTATTTCCTTATTATATTCTTCGTACCAGTTACTATTATAAGCGTTAGTAGCTACTGCGACACTCTAAAAACTATAATTTTGTAGCATATGGTAAACAGGATTTCTTTAATAATTTTGTTTACTTGTACTTGTATCTCGTTCGCAGTAATGGCAATAATAAAAATTTGATTAACTTGTAAGCAAAAGAAAATAACTGCAAATATCAACTTGGTGTAATCTGAGACCTACAAAAAAGTTTAGATTAATTTTTCAAGAAAATTAAATATGTCTTTGTATAATAAAATTTATCTAGAGTATTTTGTTAAATTTTAACTAAATATACTACTACTATCGTATAGGTCTACCCCAGTATCCCTCAGGCAGACATTTAAGGCGGGCGGCCACTGCGAGCGAAACTAAACTACGCCAAGCGAAGATAAGATTTGTAAAAATCAGCTCCCATACTTTTAAGTGCATCAGCGGCCACTTGAGCGAAACTAAACGAAGATTCAAATCTTAGTTTAGTTTCGCTCGCTTTAGTTCGTGACAGGTTCCAGCGAATTTTTCGCAGCGATTAGTTCTATGACAGCATACAGAGAGATACTCTACGAGATACAATACGAAAACGCAGCTAACTTAGCTGACTACTAAGCGAAAATCGTTCCCAGTGGCCGATGAAACTTATTTTCGTTTAGTTACCGTTTCTTTCTATATTCTTAGCTTAGTTTAGTTTCGCTCGCAGTGGCCGCCTGCCTTTACGCTATCGAAAGATCCGTACAATTTATCTTAGATAGGAACTATCGAAAACAGGAAATTGCCATCCTATCCGATAGCCAAGCAGCACTAAACGCGATCAACTCAGTAACCATTAATTCGAAGTTGGTCAAAACAAATTAGGCAAAGAACATAAAGTCCTCCTACTCTGGGTGCCTGCTCACCAAAGTGTAGAAGGCAATTAGAAAGCAAATGATCTAGCTAGAAAAGGAGCGAACACTCCACTAACTGGACCAGAACCGTTCTGTTTTCCAAACGGAAACCAACTGAAAGCGGAACTGAAGAATCTGGAAGACTCCATCTGTAACTTGGAATGGGTGTCCTCCAACGGTCTAAGACACTCGACAAAGTTCCTCAGAACTTACGACCGAAAAAAATAAAAGATTTTCCTTGATTTAAGTAAAAACAATCTTCGGATAGTCACGAGGTACCTATTTAACAGGACAGTGTCTCCTCAACGAACACCTCAGTAGGATGAAACTGAGAAACAACGGTGAATGCAGATTCTGTGGGGAAAATGGGGAAACACCAGAACACCTCACATCACTGAGTGTGCCGAGACGACGACCATTCGGGCCATGAACTTCGGTACGGCTGATGTCGAGGATAGAAAGCTGGCCACTGAGGAGCCGTGTTAAATACTGGCTTTTGTTAAAGCCCGGAGACTGTATGATGAGTTATAACTCGTTATAACTCAAGAAAGGGGAACACAAAATAGATCTGTAAGGTCGCGGTGATTAACTCCCTTCCTAAACATTCTACATCGTATAGGTCTGGTGCATTTCAACCGATTTTTTAAAATGCCGACTACAGCGCTCGATACGACACAATTCAGAACTGTCTGACTACTTTATTTCAAGGCGTCCGGGTTACCATGTTGATCGCATTGAAATACCGTATGATCGAAAAAAAAACGGCGTCCAGTTGGCTGGGAAATGACGATCAATGACATTTCGAGATTTTTTTCTTCGATGGAGAGTTAAAAAATGAACATTTTTTGTATTTAAAGTATTTCAAAGTTTTTAAAGGTTCCGCAGATACACGCAGTATTATTTCATATGGCTCGGTAAACGGTAAAATACGAGAGAAAAATCATTGGGTCGCTTTGATAAACATTTACTGTGTGTTCTGGTGCTTTCTCATTTTTCCCACAGAATCTGCATTCGCCGTTGTTTCCTGTTGTAAACCCCGCGAAAATCTGAAGGTTGTTCTTACTTAAATTAAAGAAAATCTTTTTTTCTTGGCCCTAAATCCTGATAATTTTTTTCAAGTGTCTTAAACTAGTGATGGGCAAAACTGTTATTTTTAGATAACAGTTGAAACTGTTATAGTTATTTATAAAAAACAGCTTAAAATAACAGCTTAAAAATAACAGGTTTCTTTATTTTATTGCAAAATATCCGAAAGAGTATGAGGGTCACCGCCCGCAGTTGCACGTTGCAACAATGACGTGCTTGGTGGTAGTATTTCCAGGCTGTCAAAACATTTCTAAATATCGATTGTTATCTATAAAATACCTCTCTAAAAACGGTGGTTGTTTACAAATAAGTGCTGTTTACAAATTTTGCGATATAAAAAAAACAAAATGCCGCCACTCGTCTATATCTATACATTCCGATCTACCTACGCCCTGCCCCTCTATCCGCCTGAATTGCGTAGCAGTGTACAGGGTGCATCTCACTCGACGGGCGAGAAGCTCTTAGTTATGATTTTACCATTTGCAGTCAAAAAATAGCAATATAAGAAAATGTGTAGTATATTCTTTATAAGTAAACCAACTACACACTAGAGTTCGAATTAATTTTACACTTAAATTTGAAAAGGAGAATTTCTACTTAGGTATTTATTCTGAAAATTTTTCAGAATAAATAAATACCTAAATATTGAAACTTAATAACTAAGTACGGAAACATACAGCGCCATAATATCTCGATCTCCGCCCGTTATGCTCGTAACAGGTTGAAAAACAATGTATCTAAAACAACTGATGCGTTATTCTCCAACCTGTTTCGAACCTCCATCGACAATCGACCGATGCAGCAGCGTTACTTCCCCACTCCGATTATCTCGACCGCCGCCTGTTATGCTTGTAACAGGTTAAAAAACAACGTATCTAAAATGACTGCTTCTTTTATATCCTATCTCTGATCCTATTATTTTTAAGCTGTTGCAAGCCCAACACGACCATCGACCGATGCAGCTACGTTCGCCGCGCCGTAGCGCATTCCCCCGGCTTCGTTTCACGAACGGTCGATCTTTACGTGTCGTTATTTTATATCTGTTATTTTTTAGAAGTAGTAACGGTTGCGTTAAGTTATTTCTAAATAATTGTTATAAAATAACAGATAGTTAAATAACAACCCATCATTATCTTAGACCGTTGGAGGATTCTCATTCCAGGTTACGGATGGAGTCTTCCAGGTTCTTAGTTTAAGTTGGTTTCCACTTAAGAAGCAGAACGGTTCTGGCACCCAGAGTAGGAAGACTTTATTTTCCTTGCCTACTTTGTTCAGTTTTTCTAGACATTCTTTGATCAACTTCAAATTGACGGTTATTGAGCATAAGGTAACTCTTCAATAATCTTTTAGGATAGCCATTGTTCGTAAATAATTCGTATAATTCGTTTAGATTGTCATTAAGAAACATATCACCACAAATATGCGGTCCTTAATTTATCATTGAAATTATTTTGTTGATTTTTTAATTCATCTCTCAAAGAAACTTAATATATTAACATATTACCGTTATTAGTTGAAAAGCTATAGATGCTACATTAACTGAATTTATAAGAAATTCGTATAGAATAACATACTTGATTGCCGTATTTAAATTTTCTACATATCTGAAAAAAAAACAATAATTATTTAAAACCAAATAATTTACTATGAAACTCATACTTTATTGTTTTTTGGTGTTCGATAATAATAAATCTTAACCTTAAGAATGGATTGTCTTGAGGAGTTGATTTAAAACTCTTAAATGTTCTCAGATAATATCCTATTAGCTTAAATTTAAACGAGGCAAAGTTTACAAGGGTATAGAGGGTAGCCTGGCCAGCTACGTTGGCAACGAAACCAAGCATTGGAAAGTAAATATTGGCTAAAAAATAATGTAAATATGCTTTTCGCGGATTATATCGGGGAAATATAATTCAATAAACAAAGCGTCGTTTTGGTAATCAAAATTTTTCAATCCTGTTTTGAATATATTTTTGACTGAAGCAATCAGCATAAAGCTTACAGTACAATTTGTAACCGCGATGACGGAAATAATAATCAATAAATTATATTTTTGAAATTGCTGGTACATTCTCTGCATTTCCTTGTTCTTATTTAATGCCATGTCCTTTTCTATAATTAGAATTTCTTCAAACATCTTTGGCACATCATTCTTTTTGTATACAATCAGTTTAACTAGAACCGTGGAGGCTGCAATACTAATCATAAAAGCCTGCATTTTCCTCTCCAAAGGATAAGGATATTTGGATATTCTCACACTTTCAATCGTTAAAGATGCAATTGCCAATGCGAAAGATACCTGGAAAAAGTATTTATACACAAAATAAATTCTTTTTAACGATGGCTCCACATATTTCTCCGAAAAAATTCCAGAAAATATCATACATTTTTTAACTAGAGAACCTGAAGTCTTCATTTCTCTTTAAAGAATTTAACAAAACTGAAATGTTCTTCGAATTTATCTTGTGACAGATGTTTGCAATTACACTATGAATGTTGAAGTCTTTGTGAATAAACCCAGTTGAAAAATGAATAATTATGCTCGAAGGGTTATGACTAATAGTGATAAATTTTATAGTTTTTAAAAATGGATCTATATTTCGTAATTTATTTTATTCTGACTAGGTGGTCAGTTCTATAATACGTCTGAAATAAACGACATTTGTTTAACTAATACCCTTCTAATACACAATACGATCGAAAAAAAAACGGCGTCAGCGATGGCTACGAGATTAAGACCGCTGTAATTTTATATGTAAAATTATATGGGGGATGATATCAAACGTCATTTCAAAGCCAACTGGACGTAGTTTTTTTTATCATATGGTAATTTTAGTTGGTATCACTTATCAGTCATCGGGAAGTCATCTATACAAGATAACCGTACTGAAAGGGTTAACTCAGAGACAACCTATGGTTTAAACTTCTTTTTAAATTGGACTATTTTTTTTCACATGCTTTAATTATTCCAGTATTAAAGAAAATGAAGGTGAAATAAAATAATAAAAACGAAGAAAGCAACAATAATCAATTGAAGGAAAAATGCATTTTCTTTTAACTCTGAGTTTTGTGCCATTTAAATTATATGATAAAATAAAAACCTGAGAATCAATAATTCATGTTTAAAAATCCATAGTAATTGTATACGCTTGTAACAATTCCGCACATTATTATTTCAATAACTTGACGATTATATAGATACTAGGTCAGTGTTTTATTAATTATTCAGCAGATATAACAGAGGGTTCATATACGGAAGGGTAATGCGGGTAATTGCCAATACGAAAGACACCTGAAAAAAGTATTTATACACAAAATAAATTCTTTTTGACGCTAGTTGTACATACCTCTCTGACAAAATTCCAGAAAATATCATATTTTTTTAAGTAGAGAACGTGAAGTCTTCTTGAATAAAACGCAGTTTAAAATGAAAATTCAGTTATGCCTGAAGGTTTATGACTAATAAATAAACAAGGCTAATAGTGATATAAATTTTATATACTCAGAAGCAAAAAAACGCAACGGAGAAATTTTTGGTGAAATTTAAACCGTTTTGTTATTTTCAGCCCTATTTTCATGAATTTTTAGCAAGCTGTATAAAATTATATCAACTTTAATTCGTAAACCCAGTTTTTTTATAAACTTTCTTATTTGGCATATATTATACAGGGTTAATCGAGGGGTTGTTTTTTTACCTTAAGTTTAAAACACCCTCTGCAATAATTTCGGGTGTGAGTTTTCCTAAAATATAATTTTACGGTCAGAACCATGTTCCCTGAGGATTTTGTTTTTTGGATCATGTCAATACAAGCCTTGGTTAATTTTTAAGAGCGACATGAACCGATCACGAGCAATTTGCAATTTTTTCAATTATCAATACATTTTGATGTAACGTAAAAGTAGGTCTAACTGGTCTCTACAAAATGTATAAACTCTGCAGGGCAATAAGTTGTTAAATCCTATGATATATGCCTAGTAAAAATATGGAATACACGGAAAGAACCTGATAATTACCAGTTGTCTAGTGCGCTCCTGTAAAATCAGTGAAATGGCGCTTATCATATTTTTTCCCTTGGACCCTTCCAATAATACCAAGGATAATACCAAATAATACCTACCATTAGCAACTGTATTGGACATATATATCTATGGACTTTATATTGGACATGCTAAAACTGACATATTTGAAGGAAACTATAATATTATATCTAGTACAATATGTTAGTATTCCTACCATTCTTAATCATATGACTTTTTTTAATAAATGCATGCAGTATACCGATGGTATTCCTTTGTTATAAAAACAAAATAACTTTCCGCATATAAAAATATAAAATAAGAAAAATGGGTATATTTCAAATACGTTTAAATTACCTATACGGCTCACAGTGGGGTATTTGACACAGATAGTTGATCGAAATTTTTTTATGTAGACCTTATATAAATTATTGCTATTTTCAATTAAAGAGGAAATAATATGACCAAAATAAATGATAATTCGTCGATTCTAAAAAAATAAAGAAAAATCACTGTCCCAGTGTTTCCACGGTCAATGCCAGTAGTAATATCGCAACTAATACTACTAATGCTACGACTGATCCGCGAGCAATGCCCATGCCACTAAAGTCGCTACTAATGCCAAATTGTGCTATACTGCTAATGACACTAATGCGATCGCTTTGTACACAACAATGCCATCGCGGTTTACACCTCGCATTAGTATATCACTGATTGGCAAATTAGAGGAAACCAAGAATGTTTTTCTCATTTTATCAGCAAAGTCGCAAAAAGTCGCAGTATTTTATTTTACTGTATGAAAGCCCAATGTTTACTAAGTAAAACGTATATAGACAATATGCTGAATTCTTCGAAATGCGCAACTAAATCTCTAAGTATAATAAAAATGTCACAAATTTAATCAAATTTTCTGAACGCCTAACTTTTAGTTGCAAAAAAAATCGTTAGTATAGAGAATATCAAAATAAATAATACGTTTTTGTAGAATACATACCTGCAGCTTGCTGAACCACCATTTTCAATCAAAACAATAATATAAACGTAAAAAGAGCACAAGAATAACAACAATTTATAATTTTAAACATAAAATTTAGCCATTTACCTCTTATCTGTGAGAAGTAACAACTTTGATGTTTCGTTGAAACAAATGAATGCAACTAAACACACCCATGGCAACGTCATTCATGGCAGACATGATTTAACTTATCATTTATCTTTTTTTGGGAAATCTTAAACACATCTGCTTTTTCGAATTTCGATCACCTTTTTCATGCTAATACCCCACCGTGCGGCGGCCTCCCCATTAGAGCAATGAGAGAATTTATGTCCCAGTATTGAAGGAGGACAGAAAATCGAGTCGAACGGTTTCAAGACATAGGTTCATCCTTGTTTAGTCAAACCTCCTACCACACAAGGATAGACTTATGTAGGAAATGCATTGAAATTCTATAGCCATCCTTTAACATTGGGACAGGAATTTAAGCGGTATCCTCCGTATAGGTAATTTAAACGTATTTGGTATATTTATTTAAAGGTTACACTTGATTTTTTATTTCCAATATGATATTATTTAAAACATGAAATTATATTGTTATCTGTTTCTTAACGTTGCTATGAAATTCTGAATGCAAGAAATTGATCTAATATTAAAGGTGCGTTTGCACGAGTCGAATGAATTGATCAAGTCGTCACTTTAATTCAATTCGTATGAATACAATATGACCGTCTAAACTCGACAAATAATGTCAATTGATCAAGTGAGTTTCCATTCAAGTCTCAGACTGCTATTTTTGACGATCAAGCAGGTCCAAGTTTGGGTTCAAGTGGTGTTTTTAAAATGGCGACAGGAGGTGCAGGTCAGAAGAAAATACTGTAAAATTTCCAGTCAGAATACAAAACTAGTTAAAGAAGAAATAATTAGCTTAAGCCGAGTACAAATAACTTACTCATTAACGTTCTCATTAACGTCTCGTTTTTAATGCTGGTTGAAATATGGCGATTTTGACTGGCTACATTAAGCCGCACTCAATGCGAACTCGAACAGAATTACAATTTCGACTGGTAAGAGCAAAGCAAGAGCAATGTATGTTCGACTCGCACAGACCCGGTGCGGATTGTTTTTTCGTTCGGCTGCATCAGAGCAGCTTTGTAAACTAGCACTCAGTGCAATAATTTTGGAACCGTCATACATAGTCGGTTCTGTCCAGTTCGCTCCAGCACTGTGCAAGTGCAACTCTTTGAGCAGTTGCTCGCCCTGAGAGCATTCGAATAGAACCGGTGCAGCCCAGTCGAAATCGTCATTATGTATTAAATTATTAAGGGGCGTCCAGACCAAATGAGCGAGCAGTAACGAGCGCGAGCAAACATTTATTCAAATTCGCTTGCTGCTCTCGAGCACTTGATCAGCTTCCGTCCAGACCTAACGATTATTTGTATGTTCGGCGTTGATGGGTGTGTGGCACTTCATCTTTATAATGTCGGAAAAAATTATTGCTTGTGCGTCTTTCATTGTATTTTATAAGTTGTTGAAACATCAAAAGAGAAAACAACTGCAGAGGAGATGGTGGAACATAACTCTTTTTAAAAATCGAGTTTCTCATGGTGGTAACAATTTACTAAACGATGTTGAAACAGAAGATTCTGGAAAATTTAAGAACTTTTGTCGGATGTCACTTACAGATTTTAATACCTTATTAGTTTTAAATGACATAAAAATAATGAAAAGTGATACCAATTATACCGAAAAGCAATTTCACCTAGAGAAAGGCTAGCTATAAATCCTTTTGCTATAACCTTACGGGTCTTGGCGATTTCTAAACAACTCCATTCGGCCATTCCATTTTTGATATTGGATCGCAAACGTGGTAAACAAAATCCCGTCCAAACCGAACGTGCAATAGTGCGAATTTTCTTTGATGTACCGACACGGCGTGGAACAGCGTCGAGCACGAGCAAGCAATCATTCGCTCGCTCGCAGAGCCGCCCACTCCAGTTAAGCGTTTCTATAGAACATACCCGAATTCTTACTGGCTCATCTGGTCTGGACGCCCCTTTAGAAGCACCGTAAGAGCGCTTTTACACACGCTGGCAAAATTGGTGCCGGTGTCGGAGTTGAAATGAATTGCAATATAAATAAAGTCAGTATAAATTAGTCAGGGACCGGCAAAAAATACAATAGAATTAAATACAACTGTCGGAACGCGTGCAAAGCCGGCACCGGATTTTTCCAGTGTGTATGCAAGCGCTCTAAAGTAGCTCTGCGGCTAATCCAATTTCTGATCGATAGTTCTTTTTTATATCTTAGTTTTTTACGTAATAAACTTTCTGTTAATTATTGCCATAATCAGAACCATAATTTTGACAGTTTGAAGTACAGCCTAACGCACTATCGCCATTTTAAATCAACTGCAGTCAATTACAGAACCTTTTTGACATGAAATATCGTTTGAAGTCCAAAATACCTATCTGCCTTACCCTTTGGCCTTACCTATGAAATTCTGAACAAAAAAGCAATTTAAAAAAAAAATAATTTCTTTTCTTGTGCCTATGTTTAGTACCATTAGTAGCGTACTACAACAAACTATGGTAAGATAATTTATTTAAATTAAACCAAAAATGTATTTAACATTTCCTACTACGGAATGTACAAATTAGAATTTTGATACCCTAATGGTGCGTTTAGACTTGAGCACGCACGCACTGATCCTCCGCGAATGCTCAAGTGTAAACGGCTGTGCGCGCACGCTCACTCTGAATCTGCCTGTGCGCGAGCAGCCGCGAACGTGAGCCGTCTGGTGTCGGTTTTTGGTCCGTGCTCAAAGGGATTTTATCATATGATTTTATGTGTGCGCCAACGCTCAATTTGCACCGGCAATTTGTTTTGTCTGCGTTCGTGCGTGCGTGATTTTTTTCGTTTTCTTTATTAAAATTATGGAGTGGATCAATGAATCTTCGTTATTATTAATTGAAGAATATGAAAAGTTGCCTATATTATAGGATGTTAAACATTCTTTAGTATTATTAAAAAACCAAAAAAAAAAAGCATGGCAAGACCTTGTAAATAAAATTAACATTGAATATGTCGATATTAATGAAATTGCTATTCTAAAATTTGTATCTTTTGTTCGTAATTTTTGGTGTTATTAAATTTTGTAAATATTCAAAGTCGGGCCTGGTGATTCTTGTAAAGTTTTTGAATTGATCATAGCCCTCCTCAGACACTAAGTTGTTGCAGTAAATTATATCGATTTCTAAAAATTTGGGTTTGCCACCAGCGACGATGTTTTCGATTTTTCTCCTTTTTAATAATTAAGCTGTGCATAACAATGACTGCAGCCTCGACTATTTCTTGGTCGTCCATTATTTTCGCCAACACAACTCTGCTGTGCGCGCACAAATGGATCACTTCATTCGTCGAAAAATAAGTTTTTAATCTGAACGGAGCCGAGAGCGCGAACGAATGCCGTGCGCGCACGCTCAGCTCGTGCGTGCTCAAGTCTAAACGCACCATAATATAATTTATTTAGTTATGTTACGTGCATTTATTTATGATATACATTAACACAATAAACAATTAAAGCCAACCAATGTTTTTAGCACGTTTTTAGGTATAAAAACATTTTTTTTCCAATTTAACCTAGTTCTGCCAGGCTACACCAGGTGGCGTATATTTTCAATTTTTAACATGAAGTAACCAGTTCTTTAAAATACATGATCTATGGTTCTTTATGCTCATCCCTAAGGATCATATATAATTTGCGATCATATGTAATAATTACATCCACAGATTATTTACAATAATTAATCCACAGAACACAATGGTTTTCTAAATTAGTCTATGGATTTTCGAAGTCAAGGTTAAAGCTGTCAAATGTCAAATAAATTAAAATAAAAATAAAAATATTTATATTGTTTTATAGTTTTTTAAAAATCTATTCTAATTTATGGTTTCTTTGATAGTCTTTCTGTTCATAAGTTAGATTTTTAGCAGTACAGTGACAAGCATATAAATAATGTATTCAATTTTTAATGGCAAAGCTAAAAAACATGATTATTTAGGGGAAGGTGAACCTCCACCGAAAAAGATTGTAACTGAAGGCACTATTTTGATTAAAAATTTAGCAAAAAAACAATTAAAAACCAATGCAACATTAACAGAGTAATTTGATTTTTAATGTGCGTTTCCAACCTTTATTATCATGATTTAAATTTCAGACAACTGTTACAAAAAAAAGAATTTGTATCGAGTGAAAAATATACAGATATTACCAGTCACATAAGTGGAAAATCTAATTTGACTGATTTTAAGACGTCCATAAACAATGTAGATACGTGGAATTTGTTTAAGAGTAAAAATATTAGTGATAGAGATATCGAAATGTATAAGGAATATATTAGCCACAATAACAAATTTTGGGAAAAACATAAACACATTAATAAGGATGTGTTAGTTAAACAATTAAAATGCATTGAAGATCTATTGGAAACGACTGACAATGTGAATGAGTAAGCAAAAATTATAAAATTTCAATAATGTAAACAGTAAAAAGTAATATTTTCTTTTTTTATAATTAATATTTTATACTGATTTTTTAATTTAAATATTGATTTAATATTTTTTTTTCAGCAGACCTCTACCAACATTATCTAGACATCAGCAACAATATTTAAATTCTTTAAAACCAAACAGCATTGAAACAAAATTGTTAAAATTTGCAACAGAAAACATTCAAAACACACAGAAATTAGTTTCCAATGGACCAATGGATGAACTGTCTAATATGGAAAAACAAATTACTGAATCTATTCAGCAATATACACATTTGGACTATAAGAAAATTCGAAAAAAGGCAAGATCTCTGGGAAACAAAATAATAAGCTTAGAAGATGATATCAAAAATATAGGGAATTGTGATAACAGTACAAAGCTAAAAGATAAGTTGCCCAACAATTCTCTGTGGGATATAAAAGAAAAACCTACCATTCCAAATACTAAAATAATTGAAAAATCTAAAACATACAGTTGTAAGCCTGAGACTCTTTATACTATAAAAAACGATCAGATTATTAAATTGGATGATACAGAATTGAAGAAAAATTCTCAAAATAATTCCTGCAAGTCAAAGCTTAGCATTGAGGAAATCAGAAATATTCAAAAATTTTCTGATTACGAAACAGGAATTCCTTCCAGAATGTTATTCTTGAAAAATTTATCAAAAAATGTTAAAGACACTGATTTTGACAGTCTTTTAGAGAACATCCATACTTCTTATACTATAAAAATCATGAAAGGGAAGATGCGAGGCCAAGCATTCATAGAATTTGTAGGTAAGGAAATAAATTATACCGTTTCATCGAAAAAAAAACGACGTCAGAAGGCTGGGGAATGACAATCTACAAACTTAACGTGAAACTTCAAAAATTAACACTAATTAAAGAAACTAAAAAAATCGGCATCACAGTGGCCTTTGAAATAAATGTTTCAGGAAAAGAGGGCCTTTTTTCTAAATTCAACATTAATTTTTGGTGAATTTCAAGTTATTTCTAAAAAAAATTCTTCGTTGATGAGATTATCAACATTTGAAAGACCTTTGTTACGCCGTGCGCCGTTTGTTTCGATTATATGGTAATATAAACATCAATTAATTTTTGTTTTTAGATGAAGGTGAGTCATCCAAGGCTTTGAATATATTAAATGGTGTTATTTTAGAAGGCAAGCCTGTGATAGTACAATTTGGAAAGAGAAAAAGTAAAACTTGAGATATCCAGATAATAAAGATTTTAATTTGTCATTTGTACACTCAAAATATTAATGCAAAATAAAATAAATGCTAGAATCTGTACTATTTCTCCATATTATTCTATTATTATTTCCTATAGGATAACAAATTATGAACTATACACAACACTGTAAGCGACAAAGTACCTATTGTTTATGTTAACTATAGTTAAAAGCCATCAATGACAATATATAAATATGAGATAGGAAAAAATGAACTATCTACTTATATTGTAAATAAATATTAGTTGAAAAAGTTCAAATTAATATCATTTGTAACCAGTTCTTAAAAAAGAATTTATATATTACATACTATGAATCAATAACCAAATGATATAACCCAGATCATTTGGATAAGTTATGTGAAATGATTCACCTAATAAATACATATAAACTTAAAATATACCGGGTGTACAAAAAATTTAAACAAATAACTTTTTATTGAAAAACATGCATCACGCAGAATTACTTCAGTATGCACAATAAACTTTTCAACTCCCCTCTGACATATTTCAATATGTTGTGATCTAACACTTTGCTTATATAAAGAAGATTTTGGAGATTTGGGGCTAAGTCTCTAAAGTAATTCCGCATATTTTTTTTTCTCAATAATGCAATAGTAAAACATACCCATTTGTTGCGAACTGATAGGCACACCCTGTAAATCATAAATTGTAACCATGTAAAGAATTCAATCTGAATTTTAAAACACTTTGTGTAAGTTTTTCATTTAATCAATAGTTATATCAAGTAAATTTAAAACAAGTCAACTGATAATTGATGCAACACTCTTAAATTACCTACACTGAATTAAAATTTACATCTTATACAATTAAAATCATTACACACCTTGTGCAACAGTTATAAATATAAAATAAAACACTGAAGTACCGACCAGAATTCTTATAAACTTGCTAGAATCTATATATCAATAAGCACAGTAAGAATAATTAGATATATGAACTGTGGTATTAGTCTTCTTGCATTAGCAAATGTTACAACAATTCTGGTTTACAGCACTTTTTAATTCTATGTACATATGTACCAGGCCAGTCATGGCAGTTAGTAAAGAGTAAAAAAAAGTATCACAATATATCCATTAGTAGTCCATTCCTGCATTTACCGTTTACTGTAAGTATGAAGCTGAAATTAAGAAAAAAAAAATATTAAAAAACAGGCACAGAATTACCTAACTAAAGTCTCTAGATAATATGAGTAGACTTACTGAATGCATTTTGTCCATTTTTTAAGATTTTCAACCAAAAGTAGTATTCCAAACTACATACACAGAGTTACAATATGATGCCAGAAACGACGTGTTAAATACATTTTATCCCTAGATCCTTTATTACTAGAGAAAATGGGATACAAATAAAACAAGTAAGTTCGTCATTTAGAGCCACCCTGGTGGTCTAGAAGAAACTAATGGAGAGTTTTGGCATAACATATTTTAGCGTTTCATTACTTAATAACGCTAACCAAAAAGGTAAGGCTAATCCAAGAACAGTTAACCTAATAGGACTGCTTATTCAGCCAAAAGTACTACTCGCTTTGTGACGTCATTGTAGCCCTTGTCATGGTTATTAGTCCTTATCCGGCAACCAATGATACACACACGTGCATTATTGGTTAGCGAATGCAAAACGTTCATTATTTAGTTTATTTATTTAAACACCTTATATGTATGCAGTATAGAAAATTAACTGTATAAATCGTATTAAATACTCGGATAATGCATTTTTAAGAACAGCAGTTCCCAGCATCACCTTTTGCAAGCATTCTTTTTAGAGTACTTCCATATTTTGCTTTAAAATAATTAATAAACAAAATCGTGGGCACTTAGTATGCACTTTGTCACAATCCACAACACAAAATGAACGTATTTATACACTCTATAGCTCTAAAGACTTTAAAGACACCTTTTTCACATTTAAAATTGACAAAATAATTAACTCAAAATTTCTCAGCTGTTATTTTTATAAGTTTACCATAGGCAACTAATAATACACACTATCATGACAAGGCCACGAAGTCTTTGACAAGGGCTACAATGACGTCACAACTGTCAGCTGAAGCGCGGGATAGCTGAGCAATCCAGGATACATTAAAATACGCAACCAACCGTCCAATCAGATGAAAGAGGTACGTACCCTATCGTTGGGTATTGTGCAATCACGTGATGCTCATGTCGTATGACGGTTAAATCTTTGGTTAGAATTTTTGTTGTTGTTTTTAACTGTTTTTACAGTTTTTACTTTATTTTTCTATTCACATCAGATTTATATTTTGTAATTGCCTATCAGACAATACGTATTTAGAAAAATAATAAGAATTAGGATCGTGTTTTTTTTTAAATCCTGGATATTAATTGGAACCCTTGATAACATTACTGCTTTTGATATAAAAAGTGCATTTTTTATTATTTACTTGGGCTAGGATATTAAAATATCGGTTGGATTGTACGACATAAATAGATGTAGGTATGATTATTTATATATATGTATGTATTTATAAAGCTTACTATCTGATTTGCATTTTCAGTTTTTGATCAGATATTTCATTTTATTTGTGAAATGCCCACAAAAAAGCTTCCAATGATTCAACATCAGTGTGTTTGCTGCATAATGGATCATTCCTGCTGAATTTTTAGATCATTTGAAGACTACACGGAAAAAACCAGATAATATGTTACATTTTCATAGAAATTGATAGCTAGACAATTTTATAGGCAAGTGCATTATTCGAGGCACCATCAAAGAAAGCAATAATAATATGCTTAGTCCCAGAGATATTACAGCTTAGTTATTTTGCCCTACAGGAGAAAAACCAGAGTAGTTCACTCGTAATTGCATTTTCTCGGCTCCAGTTAAAATGAACAAAGCTGGTTTTTCCTGTGGTCTTCATTTGAAATAACGTAAATAAATGTTTATACATATGTATGTGATGATTAAATTGGTGTTAAGGAAATAAAAATGTTTTTCGATATTAATATATACCTATATATGTAGATTTATTTTGAAATAAATTACACTTTTAACAGTTTAATAGAGTTTTTAAAGCCAGTTATAATATTTATATTTTAAAAACTTGAAATCATGTGGATGTAGTCACGCATTAAACCACAGACTAACTTATATAAGTCAAAAAGTAGATTTTAGTGTTAACTTTATATAACTTGTAAGTAAAATAATAAATAAAACAAATATGAAAAAACCAACAATTCTAACGTATATATTAAAAAAACAGTACAATAATAGGTATCTGATAATTCCTCACTTAACGTAGAATAATATTCTACCCAACTCAATACTATGTCCAACATGAGTTTCAAATATATCGGGCCCTAATCGTTCCTGAAAATAATATTTTTTACATTGTTATACCATATTCTAAACTATTTAATATTTCAGTCACTTTAAAAAGTTAATTTGTATTGAATAATTGTCTACCATTAAAGCAAATTTGGACTAGTATTTTTAATGGGCATATTCTGTGTATGGATGCATATTCTGTGTATGGATATAGGTACTTCCTCCAGATTTTGGGTTCAACCAATTTATTCTTAAAACCTGAGACATCTACGTATAAAAAATAGACAGGTTACTAATTATAATAAAATTTACCCCTTAGAATTATACTTTTTAACAAATAATTTCCATTGGTATACTTTCCATGGCAAGTAATCAACTTCCCTAACATTTTTAATTGATGTAATACTTCCTCATGATGCGAAAAAGAAAATCTTTTCTTTAGCACACAAAGGACAAACGATATGTTGGCTTACTTTCAGATTAGTTACTTTTCCATAGATATCCTCATGTCAATTCAAAGACGATGAACATGAAAATGATCATCACATGAAACATCACAAACTAAAAACCTAATAAACAAGTTTATATCGAATATAGAAATAAATTTAGTGTTCTTACCTATTGTAGTCCAAATCCACGTTAATAGATAATTATTTTTTTGGATTTTTATCTTTTATTTTTAAATATATTGTTACGGATTCCGTGGGTCCACTAATTTAAACTCACGATAAATTACTTAACGAATTTATTTTCTCACTTTATACACAATTACTAACTTATAACACACAACAAACTAACTATTTATAAGATTCCTTCACCAAATTGTCCGATTAAACTTCCCCAACTGTCGTAAGCGCTCCTTTTATATAGCTGTGGTGAGTGTTTCGCGAACAATCTAAAATTATCGGGACGGGTCCGCCATCTACTAGTACATTCTATTGTCTGCTTCGCTTACTTGTCGACTTGATTAAGAGATGGCGCTACAACAAAATATTGTCTTCAGGTTTCTGGACACGTTGCGGTTTTAGTTGCTCGCTTCTCCGACAGATGGCGCCACATACACCTTGACATTGCCCCCTTCTCAAATTTGATCGTCCCGATCAAGGTTTCCTGTCTGGTATCTCTTCAATCGATCCAGATGAACTACTTTCATCTTACTTCTAGGGCTGCGTTGAATCCGGTACACTACATCATTTATCCTCTTGATGACTGTATAAGGACCTTCCCATGCTGGAGTTAACTTTGGGGACCTTCCTTTCTTGCGCTGTGGATTATACAACCATACTCTATCGTCCTGTTGAAATCCCGTAGAATTAGCTCTGAGGTCGTAACGAGCTTTCATCCGGTCACTGGCTAGCGTAATCTTACTTCTCACGGCCTTATGAATTCCCAATAATCTTTCCTTCCTAACGACTCTTTCGAACGACCGTCCAACGTTATCTTGTTCCATTTTTCCTCCAGATCGAGTACTTGGTCCTTGTCTAGCTGCGCAAATCTTACAACGTTGACACCATTTCTTAACATCTTCACAATAATCCACCCAGTAAAAACGGTCTCTCAGCTTGCTCAGGGTCTTGTTTACCCCAAGATGGGCTCCATTTTACCACCATGAATTTCTTCCAATACCTGGATAACTTTCTTCCTTGGTACCAGTAACTGAGTTGTTACTGTCCTGCCATCCGCACTTTCCCACGTGCGCTTTAACAATCCATTCTCAATCACCAGTGAATTCCACTGAGCCCAGAGAGCTTTGAAAACGAGCCCTCTGTCCGCAATATCCTGCCACGGTGGTCTCTCGCCGTTACCTTCCTTGAGCCGTAGTATTGCTCCGATGTCTGGATCTTCCATTTGATCTTTCCTCAATTGTGTCGTCGTCCACTGTTCATCAGCTCTCAGCTTAAAACTCCTTATTCTGATAGTGCTTTCGCGATGTTTCATTTTCTTGTCCAAGGTAGCTCGTCGTCGATCTAGGTCGTTGTCGATAATTTGTACCCGTCCTACACGGCACCCAACGGTTTTCTCTAGTTTCCCGAACACAGTCTTCTTGGTATCACCAGGTATCATCACAATTTTCGATAATATTTCTTCCATATTTCCTGGTCTCTTCTCTTTAGATACAGAAAATTCCTCATTTCCGATTTTCAGGATGTTTCTATGGTGATCAAACGAAAAACCATGTTGACTGATCACATCCATACCCATGATAAAATCATCTTCAATGTCCGCCACTAAAACGCTATGCCGAAACTTCAAATTCCCTAACTCCAATTCCATGAAAGCCTCTCCCCGTACAACGGCCATTTCCCCCGTAACTGTACGTAAATACACTCTTCTTCTAAGAGGCATCATCTTCAATCCTCGCACTGAGTTAGTCTGCACCAACGATACCATAGCGCCTGTGTCCACAGTCATTCGATTTCTTCTACCATTGACCTTCCCGTTGATCACCAAACTGTCAGCGGTTTTTCCTAGACTCCTAACGGAAAACATCCTAGGGGCTCTGTTTTCTTCAGCCAATACTCGCTCATTAGTGTTGATTTCCGGGTGCCTATGTTCTCTCGATGGTAAACGGAATCGCATTTGGACGCGGCAATCCCGTTTGATGTGGCCATTCCTGCCACATCTATAGCAACTTATGTCCTGGGATCTTCCGATGTGCCGATGTTCTCTGGATGGTGAATGGAATCGCATTTGGATGCGACAATACCGTTTGATGTGGCCATTCCTGCCGCATCCATAGCACCTCATGTCCTGGAATCTTCTTTGGTTCTCTGTCTGGGTGTTGTTGACTTACTTGTTTATTAGTAGCTCACATAGTTTGTCGAATTTTCTACACATCTCCTCCAAACTTCTGTGGGTACTCTCGGGCTGTTCCTCTACCGTTACCGATCTTATCTTCGGTCTAGGGATGGCGCTAAAAGCAGCTTCGATTTCCAGCGCCCTGACCAGTGCTTCGCTGCTGGTAGAAAATCAGGATATTTGCAGCGCCCTCTGCGCCTGATAAAGCACTGAGCAGCGAGTTCCTCCCTAAATCCTTCCGGTGCTTCAGGATACGCTAGGTGTACCAGCCGACGTAAGTCTGCTTCAAATTCCTGCAGACTCTCTCTGGACCTCTGCAGGCGTGTCTTGATCTGGGCCTGGTAAGTTGGCGTCGATGTTGGTCGCCATATCTTCTGTCCAGTGCAGCGACCAAAGTTTGGTATTCCTGCTGTTGGGCTGCAGGAATAGTTTGCAACAGTTCCAGAGCAGGGCCACGCAGCGCGATGACAAGTGCCGCTGCTTTCTCCGGGTCAGTCCATCCGTTGGCAGCGGCGGCTGCTTCAAACTGACGGTGGTACATTGTCCATGTCGTTTGTCCATCGTAGGTTGGGGCCTTAAGGTTCGCTGTTCCTTGAACGCCAGGTGTCTTTACTTGTACCTTGGTCTTCTGTAGGTCCATCTCCAACCTTTCTATCTTCTGCTGAAGGCGCTCCTCCAGATCTTCTACGGCTTCTTGGAAGTGATTCTGCTGTTCCTGGCAACGCATTTCCAACATTGCTTGTTGCTTTTTTTCCATGTCTCCGAAGCTTTTCTGAAGTCGAATTTCCTGATTTTCTAAGATTTTCTGAAGCCGGTCCTGTTCTTCTTTGCTTTTCTCTCTGACGTCGCTCCTCCAAACGAATTTCCAAATTACCCAATATTTTCTCAAGCCGGTCCTGTTCTTCTTGTTTTCTTGTTGTCGTTGTTGTCGTTGGATTTTCAAATCTTCGAAAATTTTGTCTTGATTTTCTAGAATTTTCAGTAAGCGGTCCTGTTCTTCTGCTTTCTCTTTTTCTAGTCGGGCTCGCTCTTCTTCTCGTTCTTCACGTAGTCTTTCTTGTTCTTCTGCCTTCTCTCTTCTCATATTCTCCATAAAATCGCCCAATAATTTGCTTACTTCTTCCATTTTCTTCGATTGCTCCCTTGTACCAACCATAAAAATACTCTAATTCGGTCTAAAAATCTTCCAATCCACTTAATTTCTTCTTAAAATCCTCTTGAATCCCACTTCTGACACCAATTGTTACGGATTCCGTGGGTCCACTAATTTAAACTCACGATAAATTACTTAACGAATTTATTTTCTCACTTTATACACAATTACTAACTTATAACACACAACAAACTAACTATTTATAAGATTCCTTCACCAAATTGTCCGATTTTCAATTTCCACGCGGTATATTCAAATTTCAAAAACTTTAAACTTCCCCAACTGTCGTAAGCGCTCCTTTTTATATAGCTGTGGTGAGTGTTTCATGAACAATCTAAAATTATCGGGACGGGTCCGCCATCTATTAGTTACTTTTCCATAGATATCCTCATGTCAATTCAAAGACGATGAACATGAAAATGATCATCACATGAAACATCACAAACTAAAAACCTAATAAACAAGTTTATATCGAATATAGAAATAAATTTAGTGTTCTTACCTATTGTAGTCCAAATCCACGTTAATAGATAATTATTTTTTTGGATTTTTATCTTTTATTTTTAAATATATCTTTCGAACTACTGGTTTTAGTAATTATTAAATTAAACGAACTAAAAAGTCAAAAATAATAAACAATTCTCTTGTTAATTGTCAATTTTCTCCAGGCACCGAACATTATCGATAACGCACGATCTACCACGATTACTCCTTTGATCTGATTGGACGGTTCAATGACGGTTGGTTGCGTATTTTAATGTATCCTGTCCTATTAGTTTACTGTTCTTGAGGCTAATCAAGCGCAAAAATATTCCTTGTGAAATATAAAATAATAAATATAGACTTTTTTACGTTTTATGTTTTATTAGATCATTAGAAGTGTAACATAGTAAAAAAAAATAAAATTATGAATGCATACAAAAATAAAATGAATTAAACACAACAATAGCGCACATAGCACTTCTTTTTTTATATGATAAACAAAAACCGCTCAAAAGACGCCCTGGTCTGTTTCGTATCATGTACCGTCAATATACGACGCGCCGCCTGAAGTCGCAAAACAGTATTCTTAAGGCTGAGGACACACGAGGCGGCTTATAAGTGACGGCGGCACTTTGTTCTTAGTCGCTCATACCCGCTTCGGCGGCCACCGCCGTCCGTGTGTTTTGTACCACTGAAGTCCCATTGAAGAGTCTACGCAGGTGGCACAACTCGCGGCGCACAGGGAGTTGGATGGTCATTCTAGCGGGACAACAATCTTGTATTTATTTATTTATTAAAAAATTAAGTTGTTAATAAATTTAACTCTATGGTCACTATACAAGGTGGTGCGAATTGTATTCCGGAAACTTCGGCAGCATATTCTGCAGATAAAAATAAGTAAAAAAGTTCGTATAAATGTATGTTCTCAAATGCTTACTTTCGAAAATACAGGGTACAGAAGTTTCATTTTTATTTCGATTTTTCCCAAATAATTTATGAAGTAACGTCAATATTTGGATAAAAATTGGTGCCCGGGAGTTTTTTGATATGAGAAATTTGATTTTGATGTTAATATGACTCCTAATTGTAGAGGGCGTCCCCTACATAATTTTAACTGGTTTGAAGTGTAATTACTTTTCGTCCGTACCTGTATAAAACTACTGAGTAAAAAAATATACATTTACGAAGTTTTTTACGTAGAAAAGGTCTCTTGGTAAAAATCGCTGCGAGTAATGGTTCTCGAGATACTTGGAATCGAAATTATCAATACATATCATAATTGACAAATTAAACAATGAAATCATAAATTTGAAATGTTTATGTGCCAAAAGTTCAACAGAAACTGCTTTATCATCATTTTAACCCAGAAAAGTTTATGATTAATTTAAAAAAAATTAAAATTTCCCAAATTTATTATTTCACTCAAGTAACTATATCTACTCAACGTGTTTATTTTTTGTCAATAATGAGATGTATTGTCTATTTTTATTCTAAATATATTGAGAACGGTTGCTCGTAGGGTTTTTTACCAAGAGACATTTTTTACGTAAAAAATCATGGAAATGTATATTTTGTCACTCCATAGTTTTATACAGGTACGGACGAGAGAAAAGTTATTACTCTTCAAAACAGTTAAAACACATGTAAGTGGCACCCTCTACGCGTAGGTGTCATATTGACTTCAAAATCAAATTTCTCATGTCAAAAAACTTCCAGACACCAATTTTCATCCACATATTGACATTACTTCATAAATTATTTGGAAAAAATCGAAATAAAAATGAAACTTCTACACCCTGTATTTCCAAAACTAAGCATTTTAGGACATACATTTATACGAACTTTTTTACTTATTTTTATCTGCAGGATGCGCTGTCGAAGTTTCCGGAATACAGTTCGGACCACCCTGTATATTATTTAATTTTATTTAAATCTCAAACATCGCTACATGTTCTGTCCCGCTAGACTTACCATCGGTCTCAGTGTTGCGCGCCGCTTCGACGACGAAAAGCCGCCTTATGTGTCCTCAGCCTTAATTTTTGAAACAGTTGTGTAGGCCTCCGCGGCTGACGTCGATGAGACCATGTATTTTGTAATGCTTAAGTACCATTAAGGTGTGATTTCCTAGCGACGCGACGTCTGGCGTACGCGTCTCGCCGCACACTGGTTCGTTTTTATGAACGTACGTGGCTAAAACCTGTATTTATTATACCTATTAATATTAATGAAAAGTAATCACACTTTTAAGGAGCCTACGTTGGCTGCGCAGATACTCGCGACGCCCATAAATCGCCGCGTGTGCTTTAGCTCTTATAGTCGCTTCTGTATAGCTCAGACATTCTTAATCCTCAAATTGATGGAAACGGATATTTTATATAAAAAAAAACTGTGTACATATTTGAAGTGAAACTTCTTACTAACATCTATTAAATTGGAGGACTTGAAGGCATGTTTGAAATAGTGACATATAATGCTGCTTTAATATAAATATTATTTTCAAGTCTTCTGTCATCTGTATCTTTTGTTTCCTTAATATCCTGCACATTTTGTGTAATACCATCCAAAATACACACTTTTATGCAAATGTCTAATAATGTTATGCTTAAATTTATAAGAAGAGAAAACATTTTGAACCTAACCAACAATTCGTATTTATAGAAGTTTACAGTAATTCTTTGTTAATTTATACGAATATTCTCGTTGATTATTGGTTTGAAATAAATATGATGATGGCCTCCAATGAAAATGCGAGTTGATTAACTCTAATTAAAAAAATCCTGACAAAAATGTAAAAAATGAAATTAAAATGGTAAATAGAGTAATTTCAATTCAAATTTGAACAATTGAAAACGTTGATTATTAATTTTAGTTTTATTAGTTAAAACGTCCTTACCCTATTTATTGCATATTTCCAACACTTGCCATGCTACCTCCCATATGACCTGAGCTACCCAGAGTTGAAGAAAAGTCTTGGTAACTGAACTGGGTGAAAGAAAATTGTGGTTCTTCTTGGATGAAACCGAGAGGACCAGAATTATCTGGCGGTGTCAGTTGGACACTCTCGCCTGTGAATTCTTGATCGAAATATCTTGTATCTGTGTCGGACGTTACCTGTGGCTTGAATGGTGGTGTTATCTGAATTAAGAGAAATAATTCATGTTTAAACATTATATAACAATTATAAATGCAACATGTTATTCACAAATTCGTCAACGTTAACTTTTATCTTTAAAACACTCTGCAAAATTTTCCTAAAACATTATTTTTCGTTAAAAAACAACCCTTTGATTAACCCTGTATAACAAGCAAATACTAAAGTTTATAAAAAACTTAGTTAACGAATTAAAGAATCACATTAAATTTGAAGAAAATATTTTCTGTTGCGTTTTTAACATAAGGAAATAAATTAAATTTATACACCAGTCATTAACAGAAAACCCCCAGAAAACAGCATTAGTAAAGGAGCTTTACTAATTAGAAAAATTATTTTTTTGCTTCATATAAGATATTTTTTACATGTAAAAAAATAGTTTTTTACATGACGACTTGTTACAAAATTTGGTCCACCAAAAATTACCCGTGTCGCTTCTATATGATTAAATAATTAATTCTGTGTAAAAGATGAGAATTTGCAAGGTAGCTATAGTATTATTTTTTCAAAAGTTTCCTTAAATTGTCGGTATAAAAATCTTTAAAATAAAAAGTTGTTACTTAGAACTGGAAACGTCGTATAATAAAAATATAAAATGTTACTGGCCTTATCGTTGTTTGGACACTAGGAAACTAGCATATATTTTTTAATTTTCTTAAGGCGTGTTCACACCGGCTGCACCGCTCCGCGCTGGGCCGCCCTAATCATTTTTCTGACATGTACTTTGGAAGTGTATTTTTTTAGTGCGCACAAAAGCATATGTTAAAAAAATTATTTGCGCAGCGCGGCACAGCCGGTATGAACGCACCTTTATATTACAAACTTATATATATATATATATATATATATATATATATACAGGGTGTCCCAGAAATGAGTGCAGATATTTTAAGGGGTGGTAGATCTGGTCAAAATAAACATATTTTCTCTTTACCATTTTTAAAATAAATTGAAAATAACCGAGTTATTTAACATTGAAAATTTAAAAAAATAATCGCAACATTTTGAGAACCGCCGGCAGATATTGCCAACTACATCCAATTACCCGGATCAAGCCCGGATTTCAGTTAATTCGACGCACTGTGTTGCCATATGGACGAGAAAGTATATGTTTAAAAGTAAGTCATAAAATCACAACACCTGAGGAGTTTGCAGAGATGCATTACATTTTTAAGATTGTGATATTATTAAGATTGTGATATTATTACATAAAATAAATTAAAAGTTAAATATTTAAAAGTTAAATTAAAAAACTTACCCAACATTAAAAAATATACTTATGACAGGTCGATGTAACTGCGACAGTTCTCTTTTTCGATACGCACTTAACTAAAATACACTTCATTGTGCTGCTTTACTTGTATGTGCTATTATAAAAACTGCTAAAATAACAGTCCCCATTTTTAACTTAACACATTATTTTCATATAGGCTTCATCACAATTTGAACCACTGATTTACAAAACACCTTGAAAAGCACACATTACACATTACTTTGAATACCTTTCTGAATGAATAAATGTTGAGAATTATTGTCTCTTACCGCCACTTTACAAACTACTTTCAATCTAAGAAAATACATGTTTCACTCAACAATTTTAAATACGTATTTTGTTTTTTCGCTATTTTTTCGATGTATTTCGACAATTCCGTCGACAGCCCAACCGTCAGCCAAGACAGCCGCACATCACTGGTTGGTAACTGCTCACTGCCCCTTTGTCGCGCCGGCGTGTCGAGCTTGCATCATGCAAGGTTGCCGTAGTTTCAACAATTTCAAATTCAAGACACTCGAAGCAATCAAATTCTTATTAAATTTAAAAATAAAACAGAAAACATGAAAGGAAACAAACAAAACACAAATGAATTGATTATTGATAAGGTCATAAAAAAGAAATTTATAAAATGTTTATCGTAATTCAGAATTCAATATATCGAAAACAGCCCGACGAATAATCAATTCATGTTTAATTAATATATATATATATATATATATATATATATATATATATATATATATATATATATATATATATATATATATATATATATATATATATATATATATATATATATATATATATATATATATATATATATATATATATATATATATATATATATATATATATATATATATATATATATAAAATTTAATACAAATTTAATTATTTCGAATGTCTTGAATTTGAAATTGTTGTAACTACGGCAACGTTGCTTAACATCGTCGTCTGACGCAAGCCTGCCACGACGGCGCGGCTCAAAGGACCAGTTCACACGCGGCACTCTTGGTCGACGCGCGACGTTTGGGCTGTCGAAATACATCGAAAAAATAGTGAAAAAACAAAATACGTATTTAAAATTGTTGAGTGAAACATGTAATTTCTTAGATTGAAAGTAGTTCGTAAAGTGGCGATAAGAGACGGTATTCAAAGTAATGTGTGCTTTTCAAGGTGTTTTATAAATCAGTGGTTCAAATAAAACAGAGAAACATAAAAGAAAACAAACAAAACAGAAATTAATCGATTATTCGTTGGGCTGTTTTCGATATATTAAATTCTAAATTACGATAAACATTTTAGGAATTTCTTTTTTGTGACCTGGTTGTGAATAATATGATGAATCATTTTCGTAAACGTCATAAACGTAATGTTTTAGTTAATTTTCGGTGGTTTTTGTTAAGTTTTCATTGAAAGGGTAAGTACTAAAAATAATTAATGTGTTTTTTTTTCTATAATAATTATTAATAATGAGCACTGATAAAAATTTAACATTCCTAATTTTTGAGTAGAAATTTGTCTATGAATTTATAAATGTAGAACTATGTAGAATGTGGATAACATAGGAGGTTGCAACACTGCAAGGTTTAGATACACCGTAGAGAAATCTCAGTGAATAAACAAGTGGCTCTAAAAAGTTTTTTCAAATTTCCCGGAAAATGTCAAGAAAATTTTTAAATTTTCAACATTTTCTTTTCGCAAAAAAAACCTCATAGGCGTGTTTCTGGGGTTGAACTACACTACCAGTTAAAATATTTGCACTTATTTCTGGGACACCCTGTATATATATATATATATATATATATATATATATATATATATATATATATATATATATATATATAAGATAATTCAAATTAGGTATTATTAGCTAATATCTATTATTTTAATAGAAACACTTGAAAAATAATTTATTGAGAATAAAATCATTACCCTTTTTAATTCAAGGTCTTTCCAGTTAATGCTGCTGAAGAATGGATGAGCCATAATTTGTTTGGCATCATCAGGACCTCCCCCTAACCTATAAAAACAAATCATACATTTTTGTAATAATAACAAAGAAACATACCGTGGCTGGTCATCGAAACTATGTCATCTAGATTTTAATGCGCGACAGAGAATATAAATGACCAGTTGACAGACAAAATCAAAAGCGGCATACAGTGTAGCCGGTTTTTTACGTTTATAAGGAAATGTGTGTAGAAAAATACAGGCTATTTTAAAAACTTTCATGTATGCTACTGAAGTGAAGATAATATATCTAAGCTGAATACAATCTATTACAGCTGTAGTAAAACGACTAACTAATAGTGAAAAATAAAGTTCCAACCCAAGATGCAAGATTTTTCGTAAACGCCTACTTGTGCGGTTTGAAATTTTGATGCGAAATCCGACAATACCGCATAGGAGAAATGTATCGACCCAATTTTTATCTCTTTTTAATACATTTGATCTTCCATTAAGCTGTCTACATCACTGTCTTACACGTTAAAATCCAGACCGCGCAGTTTCAATGACTAAATCAGTATATCACCAATGATACCTTTTTGTTGGATCCTTAACAAGCAATCCGGAAAGCAGATCTTTGGCTTCTGCACTTAAATTTCTAGGAAACTTCACGTCAGACATCAATATTAATGTAAATAAAACATCATGATCCCTGTTGTAAAACGGAAGTCGGCCGCACATCTGAAATAAAATTTAATATAATAAGGAGAAATGCACATTCAAAAATACTATTCTTACCATTTCATACATGACAACTCCGATGCCCCACCAATCAACAGCTCTCCCATAATCGTTATCTTCCAAAACTTCGGGGGCCAAATATTCAGGAGTGCCTAGATATACAGAAAACATATTCAATAGGGTTTTCTATACCTATCTAGCTCAGATTTTGAATCAAAGTGATTTTTCATTAAAATGGCAATCAGGGTGGCTGGTGTCGCCACGGCAATTTTCTAATGACTGTTAGTAACTATATTTTGAAAATCGACATTAGTTTATGGACGTTATTATTTCGATTTATAACAGTTTACTTTAATTTGCCCACAGTAGTTTAATAAGTAAGTATTCATTATTTTATCAAGAAAAATAAAGCAGTATCTGCTGGCGGAACGAATGGATATGTTACTAGTAATTTTATTTTGTGAGGAAAATTGCCTCTTGGCCTCATACCCAAATATATCTAAATAGGAATCTCCCTGATAAGTGTTCCTTTGAAAAACTACTTGTCCTATTTCGCAGAGCTGATACCTAGTGTGGTTTATAAAAAATCTATTAGGCAGAAACCTGTTTAATAAAGTGAAGAAAATTAATTTGCTGTAATTGGCTCTTCTATAGAAAATCCTTATATCTACAAGTCATCGTAAAAAAATCAAAGAACTACTTATATATACTATTAAACTATAGTAGGTAAATTAAATAAAAGTAAACCGCTATAAATTTAAATATAGTTCATAAACTAATTTCGAAAAAATAGCTACTGTCACTTGAAACTTGCCAGGCGACACCAGCCCTCTTGGTTGCCATTTTATTAAAAAATTGCTCTTTCTGCAAAATCTGCGCTAGATAGGTATAGGAAACCCTAATATAATTTGAAAGAGCATTTGAATCAGCTTCGATTTATTTTTAAAATACATGTTGTATTTGAAATAACGAAGTTTTTATGTAAAATCAACATTTAAAATAGACCAGCAATTTTTGATACCTCTGTATACATTAAACGAAGCAATTAAATTTGTCAGTAAAGTTTTTATTTCGCGGGATTAAAAGTCAGCACAAGAATTAATTCTGAAAAACAATGTACAAGGTGTTGACAATATATTTTTTATTATAGCATGTATATTTAAATATCTTGAAAACCAAAGCTTGTAAACATATTTAACTCTTATAATAAATGCTTTATATTGTGTCCAAGAATCCAAAAATGAAATAAAATACTGGGTGTTCCATAAGAAAAAATGTAACTTTGGTGTGGATCTTAGTTCTGGCATATCTTGTATATTTCAAAATAATTTTAAATTATACACGTTGCCCTCCCAATTTTGTTTCTACATCTTTCCGTTTTCGTATAATCAACCGAGGCGAATGAGGTGCGCCACCCTGTATAAGGAGCAGTTAGTTAATTTTATAAAATAAATGATAAAGGCGCAAAAAATTATTAATTAGCCTTTATTGTAATATGCTTATTTGTTGTATAATTAAGTAGTGTATTGTAGGTTTTAGTTGTTTAATGAATTTACTAAGTGTGTTATCACGCAGATCACAAGGATCCCCCCAACCTGTAACAGTACCTACCACAAAATGTTTTAGTTGTCCTTCCATAAGTAATGTCTTCTTTACAAAGACCAAAGTCTGTTATTTTTATATGACCATCTTGATCCAGGAGTAGATTTTCAAGTTTTAAATCTCTGAAATAAAATAGTTATTCTAAATTGTTTCTTCTTAAAAATTTGTAAAAAATCTTACCTATATATAATACCCTGTGAGTGTAAGTATGCCAATGCTGATATTATTTCAGCCCCATAAAACTTTGTCCTTTCTTCTGAAAACACTTTCTCTCTTGACAAATGGAAAAATAATTCACCACCATTGACATACTCCATTACAAAACATAATCTATCGTTTGTTTGAAAGGAGTACTTTAATGACTATAAAAAAATTAATTAAACAAATATTTCAGAATTAAGAATTAAAAAAAACATACTGTTAGAAAAGGATGATTTGTGGTTCTGAGTACCCTATTTTCAGTCTGGGTATGAGCAACCTCATCTTTCTGAATGATAACTTCCTTCTTCAATATCTTGATAGCATACAACCTTTCTGTTGCTTTTTCCCGACATAAAATAACTTTTCCAAATGTTCCTTTACCCAAAACCTTGAGGAACTCAAATGATTCTAAGGTTACTTTTCTCTTTCCAGAAGTACTTGATACTGAAGTACCTACAACAAATATTTCTGTCAAATAATGCAAGAGAATTGCAGTTGAAAATGAACAAAAAACATGAAAAATAATAAATATAAATGATAATAAAATTTTAAGTAATAATTGGTACCTTGCAAAGAGCATTTTTCCCATAAATCACCTAACATATCAGGATTGGATGGGTTCATTTCAACATCTTCACAATCATTTGTCAACATTTCAGACACTGATTTTATTGCCATTACCCACTGCTCTCTGTTATAAATATTATAATATCAATAATCTAAATTAAAAAAGCTCTATAATTGAGAACGCAAATCAAATTACAATTGTTTTTTCTTCCCAAATTATGAATTTCTTTAACCATAGAAAACATACATTTGTAAAAATAATTTAGTCTCAGAAATATCTTACCTCTCTTGTGGTGTATCTACATGAAACATTCTCTCAATAACTGTTGTCCATTGTAATCCTCTGATTATGAATGTATTAGGTTTTGGTCGATCTGTTGTCATAATTTTGCACCCTTTTACAGTAAAATTGTTCAATGGGTCACTATAAGAATCATCTGGTTTTGCTTTAAAACCATTTAAAGCTCCATCCTCAAATAACACAAAGTATCTAAAAAAAAGATATGTATATATTTTAAATTATTAACAAATATTATTTCTCTAAGTTTATAATGTGCTAAAATATAATTTCTTCATTTGTTCAAAATATATGACAATATTAAATGTATACCTGGATCTCCATGTCTTTATATGCTCTCCTCTTTTATATAACCAACCCTCCTTAACAATTCTGACTTTGCGACTAGACCCTGAGGGTCCTACATCTACTGGTGCTGAATTCATATTTCATACTAAAATTTTACAGATTAGTATATGTTTTGATTACTTATCTTTATACAGTACAACAATAAACAAATTTAATAATAAACAGATATGAAAAAACATTTAATAGTCGTACACCTGCTTTATGTGAGAATTTAACATTAAAAATAAACAGATAGATAAATATGTATGCAAAAAGTTGTCTTTAAGTGTAACTAATTGCTAGTTTACATATAAATTGAATTTTATCTATGATCTATGCTATGACCTCTCTTAGCATAGACTTCAGACAGTCAACTATTTACAACAAAAAATATGTAAAAAACAAATAATACACAAAAACAAGTAAACGTAACTTTAGGTATTATTAAATATAAATAAATGGTTCTTTAGTAGATAAACTTATAAAATTTAAAATATTTAAATATAGATACGTTTATTTAGACATTTAAAATCAAATTATCTGTTATTATTGTTGCCGAAATATCCTATTTCAAGTTAATAATTGTATAGCTATGTTGTGTAGGTACTAATATTTGAGCATTATGTAATTGTTGGAAAACACATTACTCCCATTTGCTTACATAAAATATTAATGAAACATAATATATATATGCTAGTACATACGATAATATTGTTTATTAAATTATGTACCTATTAACGATATTTTTTACGCATTATACAAGTACAAATGTGAGGTTAAGAGTCGTCAGATTTGGACTTTCTGATTTTAATTAAATACTTATTAAGTTAATGAACATCTAGGTTTGTACAAAACGGTATAATAATAATAAACAAGAGTATAATAATATGACGCTTACCAATAGTTGTAAATTGCAGCATTATTTAAAAATATATTTTCGAAGTGAGTGCTTTGACCTTCTACAATTAAACACCAACTGTAAATTGTTGATTGATGAAACTAGTTGGTAGGAGAACCAAAAATAAGTATTCACAAGTGTATTATAGTTATTATGCTATTAACACCTATATTTTTATGAAATTCCACAGTTCAAATTAGCAACACGGATCAACATTTATCTTAATTTATCTACACAACACAAATAATAAAAATCTCCATTTTAATTTACAATTCTTCTTCTTCCTCTTTCCTCACAGGCACCTTATTCTTTCATAAGTGGTTTTACGGCCTAAGCTGCCAGGACCCATAGGTATACTTTATGTTGCTCACTTCAGACTGCTTCAGTGAGGAGCACCCACGGAGGAATAAGAGAGAGGAGGCCCAGGGAGGCCCTTACCCGTTTTTATCCTACAGAAATAGTAGCAAAGTATAGTCACAGAACAGATACAAATTTTGTATCTGTATTTTGTAAAAAAAAAAATTGTATCCGTTGACGCGTGGTAGCGTCTTAAGCCCCGTTCTCAGAACTGCGTCGTGTCGACAGCGACACTGATTGACACTTCAAACGACCAATGGGAGCTGTACTAAATTTAAAATTGACAGCTGTTTGAATTTTGTACAAATCTCATTGGTCCTCTTGACGTGTCGCTGGCGACAGTCGCTGTTCTGAGAACGGGGCTTTAGATGGTAGCGTCTTCCCTCTCTTATTCCTCCGTGTAAGAATCACTTTTAATCATATATAAAAAAATGTATATGATCTATTTATGAAGAATAATTAATTTACAAGAATGGCGTAGTAAAAAAAACATAAGAAAAACATTTTTTTTACTTTGTGAAAACAGCATTTAAAAAAATGAATCAATACTGTTAATATTTTACCTGTGATTTTACCTTCCCTAATGCAAGGCTAATACCCACCACTTTGAACTAAGTTTGAACCAAGTTTGAACTAGACCCATCCTTTAAACTTGGTGTAATAATTTATTTAGTCTATGGTGCAGTGTGAAGTAAGTTCAGAGAAGAATAATGTGGTAATTTTGGAGATAACCTCTTTAGGGATATTTGATTTCCGATTTCCGATTTCCTAGTCCTAGTTTTTTAGTGCAGTTTTGTTTTCTTTAATAGGTATCTACTAATTTAGCTGGATTTATTTTTAAATAAAACTAATTTGGTTTTAGTACTTTCATTAATATCTAAACTAGAATTAGTATTCTTTACTAGTTGATTATCAAATGTGTAGGTAGAAACACCTGTTTTAATTTATCTCTTTTATGCAAAATCTAAAAGTAAGTTTTATACATTAAGCAATGTTTTGCATATTAACGCTTTTAACAAATATAACTACTCTTTCTTAGTTCTAAATTCTAATGTCTACAAGCAAAGATATAAGTGGTATTTTGCGGGCGTTAAAGCTGATAATTGAGGCCCAAATTAAACTTCAGAAAGAAAATTTAGACCATATTTGTAAAACATCTAGTTTCAAACCTCTTATTCGGCAATGTATAGAGGATAGTCAAAATTTACAAAGGTCTGTTACAGCTAAAAATGTAGAGGGTTTAGCTAATGACATTAAAGATGGTGTTGAAAGATTAAATGTTGTGGCCCAGGGTTTAAAAGTCTATGCAGATTTGTCACTAGGGAGTGGTAAGATCTTTACTAATTACTAAATACTAAATATTGTTTCTACTAACTTCGCAAACTAATAGTCTCTCTCCCTAAAGATTAATTAATTATCCTTAATTTTCTAAATATACCTATGTTAGAACATTTTGTTTTAGCCCCAAGTAAAATTGACAGTAAAGAACATATTCATATAAAGAACTTTGCTATTAAACCAGTAATACCTGATCCTGTAGTACAACCACAGATACATCAAGCGCAATTGTTCACAAGAATTGCTCCAGTAGAAGTGTCTGATAATAACTCTATAAATTTATCTAAACTCAGTTCTAATAGAGAAAGCATATCATCTTATGAATATCAAATAAAATTAACTGAAAGCGATAAAAAGTTATTACAAAGATTAGATATGGAACACAGAGCAAAGCTTGTAAAGCAGGTTGAAAAAGAAAGGCAAAACGAACAAAAGGACAATGAAAAAACTGTTGGAGAGACTATTCAAGAAAGTAAAATTAGGCCAATAGTTGTACCTCATCCTAAATCTAAAGTTCAGGTGAAATTTAAAATTGTATTTTTTATGTTTTTTATTATGATATTTTTTTAGTTAACTGATACAGCCAAGCAACAAAAAGTGCCTTCAAGTAAAATAGGTCGGATGTGGTCATTTGGAACTTTAGCTGCCGGCTTAAGCATTGGAACAGCTGCTGAATATTTGAAAAAAGCTTTTACAGTTGATGATGTTGCTACTGATGGCACTAATATAATGTTGAATGAAGCTAATATGAAAAGAATTGTAGACACATTATGTAAAGTCAGAGGTAATAATTTTTTTCAATCCTTAATAATAACGGTATTATTAGATGTGTTTTTGCAGGTGCTGCATTAAAACTTGGACAAATATTGAGTATCCAGGATGATTCAATAATTAATCCAGAATTAGCAAAGGCACTTGAAAGAGTAAGAAAATCAGCTGATTTCATGCCAGACTGGCAACTAGATCAGGTATAATTTTATATATATTTTTTTTAATTTTAATAGGTAATAATTGAACAATATTCATATAACATTGTCATGGGCATTATATAAAAAGACAAATAAAAAGATTATACAGGGTGGCGTATCTCATTCGCCTCGGTTGATTATATGAAAACGGAAAGATGTAGAAACAAAATATTTTATGGGTATATGTGGGAAGGCAATGTGCATAACTTAAAATTATCTTGAAATGTACCGGGTATGTCAGAACTAAGATCCATACCAAAGTTATATATTTTCTTACGAAACACCCGGTATTTTATTTCATTTTTGGGTTCTTGGATATAAAATAGGGCATTGATTATTAGGGTTTAATATGTTTAAAAGCTTTGGTTTTTGAGATATTTAAAGATATTTAAATATGCATGCTATAATAGAAATGTTTGTCAACACCTTGTACATTACTTTTCAGAATTAATTCTTGTGCTGATTTTTAAGCCAGAAAAATAAACTTTACTAAAAAATTTGATTGCTTTCTTAAATGGATACATGATAGGGATAACAAAAATTGCTAGTCTATTTTAAATATTTATTTTACATAAAAACCTCGTTATTTCAAATGCAACACTATGTATTTTTTTAAATATGTCGAAGCAGATTTAAATGCTTTTTCAAACTATATTAGGGTTTCCTATACCTATCTGGCTCAGATATTGAAAAAAAGCGATTTTTCAATAAAATTGTAATCAAGATGGCTGGTGTCTCCATGGCAATTTTCTAGTGACACTTAGTAGCATGCTTAGTAGCTATTTTCAAAATCGACATTAGTTTATGGATTTTATTTAAATTTATAACAGGTTATTTTTATTTAATTTACCTACTATAAGGTTAATAAGTAAGTATTTATTATTTTATCAAGAAAAATGAAGCAGTATCTGCTGGCGGAAGGAATGGATATGTTAGTTAGTAGGTATTTTATTTTGTGAGTTGTCAAGTGATCAATTGTTTGTTGGCCTGATCCAAATAGAAATTTTCTTGACAAGCGTTCCTTTGGAAAATTACTTTTCCTATTTCGCAGAGCTGATTGTGATATATACATGAGCTGAGTGGTATATGCAAAACCTATTAGGTAGCAACGTATTATTGGAAGTGAAAAAAATGAATTTGCCTTAATTGGTTCTTTTATAGAAAATCCAATATATCTATACGTCATCGTAATATAAATCAAAGGTAAATTAAATAAAAGTAAACTGTTATAAATTTAAATAAAGTTCATAAACTAATGTCGATTTTGAAAATACCTACTGTTACTAACAAATTGCCATGGCGACACCAGCCGTCTTGATTAATATGGTGGGCATAAAATAAGGCTTTTATTAATAAAGACCTTTTAATTTTAATTTAATTTAATTAATAAAAGCCTTATATATTATTAACAAAAGCCAAGAATCCAAAAATGAAATAAAATATCGGGTGTTCCATAAGAAAAAATATAACTTTGGTATGGATCTTAGTTCTGACACACCCTGTACATTTGAAAATAATTTTAAATTAAGCGCATTGCTTCTCTACATGTACCCATAAAAATGTTGCTTTTACATCTTTCCGATTTCGTATAATCAACCGAGGCGAAAGAGGTGCGCCACCCTGTATAAGGAAGAAATTTAATATTATTTTTATATTTATTCATTGTACATACGCCATGAAAATACATTCTTTTATCAGTTTTGTTTGACATATTGGAATTTGATTTAATTTTCTGGATTTGTCGTACTTTTCCCAGTTTATGTTATTTTTTGTATATTTTACTATTGACTTTATGCAGAATGTATGAATCTGGAAAGTCATTGTGTAGATTTGACTGATATTGTAAATCAATCACACACAATTAATTATGAAAAATGTTTAGAGTTAACTAAATTATGTCTTTATTGTAGACTTTTATCATTTATTTACTACTTATTTGGGGTATTTATATCTATATTTTTGTTAATGAATAGTTTTATTGACGTTGCGACCTGGTCGTCAGTGAGTTTGAGCCCTAACACATTAAAAAAGTAAAACTCCACTAATATTTAGAGTTTTAATCTCGCTAATTTTGTTTTATATGCTCCTTTCTAAGTCTTTTTTCTCTGATTAAACTGATTTTAATCTTAGGTGATAACTTCAGAGCTTGGCTCAGAATGGAGAAAAAAGTTTACGGAATTTAGGGACAAACCATTTGCTGCTGCTTCTATTGGTCAAGTACATTATGGAAAATTAGATGATGGTCGTGAAATAGCCATTAAAGTCCAATATCCTGGTGTGGATAAAGCTATTGAAAATGATTTAGATATGTTGGGTAAATATAATCTTCCTAAAATTCAAGAGTATAATGTTCACAAGTACTCCTCATAAATACTCTTAACTGTATTGACTTTTCTTGGTATTATTTTTAATAATTTGTTCTTTTTAAGGTGGTATAATGAACATGTGGAACATATTTCCAAAGGGGATGTTTTTAGATAATCTTATGACAGTGGCTAAAAGAGAATTAGCCTGGGAAGTTGACTACATCAGAGAGGCAATATGTACGAGAAAATTTAAAGAGATATTAAATAGCTATAACGAATATTATGTACCAGATGTTGTTAGTGAGTATAATTAAAAATCTTAATTTTTGTTTTTAATTTAGATTTTCAGATACATTGTCAACTAAGAAGGTTTTAACAACAGAACTACTCAATGGTATACCAGTTGATCAGTGTTTTGACATGGATTATGAGTCGCGCCATTTGATCGGTGAGAAAGTTCTGGATCTCTGTCTTTTGGAATTAATGCGGTTTAACTACATGCAAACCGATCCAAATTGGGCAAACTTTTTGTACAATCCTACCAAGAAACAGGTTAGATATTTATTAATACATTACCTCAATATACAGGGTTGCTTTTATGTATGGAAACGGTCGATTATTAGGTAAAATATAGGAGGTATTGCAAAAAGTTAAATATAAAAGTTATAGGGTTTATAAATATCTATTAGCGGGTAATAAATTTAAATATACAGGGTCGGTCATAAAGTCGTGTCACATCAAAGTTTCATTTTTTTTAAATGGAACCCTCTGTATAATATTGCATATTTCGGTTTCTTCCTTCAATTCTAAGCAAAAATCGAAACACACACAATGTACCTCAAACCAACCGTTTCCGAGTTATTGGCTTTTGAAAATATCTCTTAAACAATTTGATTTAATTTCGATATGTTCAGTTTCATTGAACGATGCCATTCTGTCAAAACTGCGATACTTAATAATATTTGACATTAGTTCTCAAGTTAGCATTTATAGATGTATAAAATGAGAGTATATCAAGTCTGGAAATTACAAAATTTTCGTTTAACATTTCAATTCTTCAATTTATGTACATTGTGTATTACGATTATTGCTTTGAAGGAAGAATTGAAATATGCAATAATATACAGGGGGTTTCATTTAAAAAAAAAATAAAGTTTGATGTGACACAACTTTATGACCGACCCTGTATACTTTAATTTACTAGTAGCTAATAGGAATTTAAAACCCCATTACAACAGTATTACAGTTTCGGCAGAATGGCATCATTAAATCAAACCAAACACATCGAAATTAATTAAATTGAATCGTTTAAGTAATATTTTCAAAAGTCAATAACTCGGAAACGGTTGGTTTGAAGTACATTGTGTGTATTTCGATTTTTGTTTAGAATTGAAGAAAGAATTGAAATATGTAATAATATTCAGGGGGTTCTATTCAAAAAATGAAATTTTGATGTGCCACGGCCACGACTTAACTACTAATTTAACTAACTAACTGAACGATCCTGTATACTTAAATTTATTACTCGCTAATAGATATTTAAAAATCCTATACCTTTTGTATTTAACTTTTTGCGGTACCTCCTATATTTTACCTAATAATCGACCGTTTCCATACATAAAAGCGACCCTGTATTTTATCTATACAGAAGTGACAGCGGCCTTTGAAGTATGTGTCTCAAATTTTGTGTGTTTCAATTTTTTTACTTGATGTCACATAATTACTTTTGATACAATTTTTCAGACGTTTACATAACCAGTAACAAATCAAAATTTGATAAGACAGCATTAAAATTTTCTTAATATATTCTTTGATTTAGTGCAGATTATAGCCAAAAAATGACCTACGTCCACAAAAAAAATCGCCAGTATCTGTTCTGTATAGTTTGGTAATTTTGTAACATGACCGTCCTGTCTATTTATTTTTTCTACCTACCCATTAGTTGCTTTTATTGGATTTTGGAGCCAGTCGAGAATATTCAAAAGAATTTATGGATAAATATGTGGTTATTCTGAAAGCAGCGTGCGACGGAGATACCGACACTGTGCTTAAGAAGTCTCGTGATATAGGATTTTTGACAGGATATGAGAGCAAGGTATGAAAACAGAAATCATTTTTTAATATTATATTTATCTATAAAAAATAAATTCTTACTTAGTCATATATGCAGGGTCAGGGGTAAAAAGCAGGTAAGTCAATTTCTCTCCACATATACCCGTATGTAGATACACTTATAAAATTGTGTATGACAATCAAAGATATTTAAACTCAAGACATACAATTGTTTACCTTTTTCCTTCATCGGCCATTATTCTATCCTTATTTTCCCATCTCTCTTACACTGAAAACATTTGCCAGATTTACCTGTATATTGGTATTAGTATTCGATTAAATACCACAACCAATTATGAAGTTATAAATAATTTCGTTATATTTCTATAATATATCAAGTACATTAATTTGCTAACGTCAATTTTTTCATTTAATGCTTAACTGCTTAACTATTTTAAATTTTATAATGGAATAAAAAATATCATGGTCGTGTTTCTTTTAATAATAAAAAGCAGTTTGGCAACGTCAGTTTTAGAAATATGCCAGCGTAGTGCTTGAGCGTAGTGCAACGGATTTCGAGGATGAATGAAAATTCCTAGATTCTACTGTTGCGATGTTGCTATGCCGCCGTTCAAGCTCCGTATTCTTTATTTGCAGTATTATAGTATTTTTGCGTTATTTTGTGGACTTCTGTGGACATTAATTTGAAAATATGGTGCATTCATGTATTCTCTACAAGGGAGTCTATCATTTATATGCAAATTTTTTCGCCGGTAAATAAAAATAAGTAGGGTTAGGTATTTGTTAGGTATATTATTATATCCTTTTCTCTGTAGATCAGAGGCGCACCTAGACATAAAAAGTAGCAGATTTCTAAATTATATTTATTTTTAGGTTTGTTTTTTAAATTATATTAATTAAATTTCTTGTAGGAAAAAGGTACACGGTACATACTAATTACCAATAAGTTAATAATTTCTGTTTAAATTTTAAGAAAGAGTATTGAATGTTAAAAATTAAATTTAAGTTCTATAAACCGCCTGTAATTTCTAAAATTACAAACATCTATTTTCGAAAAACCGTACTTTCTTATAAGAATAAATCTGTTCTAGGTACCTACTTAGGTTTGACAAACCATTGGCTACCTTTTGTGAAAATTTTATTGAGGTGGAATTTTACGGCCTTACTTTTTTGTTGCCGTTACAATATTTTTATACCGTTTTTGTTTTAAATTTTGGTTGCTATAATGTAAATGGACATCTTTTGACATACATAAAATTAATGTACTTATTACATAAATTTTATGACTTTCTTACATTTTGTTGTATTTTTACATTTTATTGTATTGAAATGCTTTGCACATGCACTTTTTATTATTTATAAACAATATGAATTTACCTTTGCAAACAAGAGAAAAAAACTAAATATTTTTTTTAAAACTAAGGGAAGTTGTAAAATTATCGCTAGTCTTTTTAGATGGGGGTCATAATGAAAGTCATGTTGGACCCACTCTATTGATGCGCGAGTATCTAAATTTAACTTTTCTAAATCCGTTCTCTAAAAAACGTAAGTAACATTTGCCGGTCAACGTATCCTGGAAAATGTATGGCCAAGAAAAGTTAAACCAATAATCCTCCACGCTTTTTTTCTTTTGAAAAATTCATATTTACAATTTTTGTTTATTTTAATTTACAAAGTTTGGAAGTGACAGTTTCACATTTCACGACGATTGATCTTGTTTCCATGGCTAACTGACAGCGTTCTTCGTGTTTTTTCAAGATAGCCGTCGGAGGAACTCCATCGGACGGAGCATACGCGCCCAAGTGAAATTGTTCATATAAACTCATGGTACTTGCTCGAAATCGCGGACGCTCCGCTCCATCTGAAAGCGCTGTAAGCTTTGAATAAGACTAAGGAAGGAGCATATCAAAAATCTTAGGTACACCGCGATGGGCCTCAAATATGGCCGACTTAAATTCCGGTTTATCAGTGTCGTTCTAATGTAGGGTAGACGTGGGGTAGACTCAATAATTTGTTGTTTTATTTTACGTTGTGAATAAATGTTTTATTTGACGTTGTGAAAAATTAAAATTGTTATAAAAATATATAATTCTAATAAAAATAGATAAGTTATAATAAGTATTTATTAACACAAACATCCGATACGCTACTGAAGCAGGTAAGTCAAATTAACGTATCTAAATTCTTTGACATCTAATCTTTGACAAGTAATAAATAAAAGCTAAAATGCAAGAAAAATATATAATTTAGTTAATTTAAGTGAATTTCATAAATGATCGGTTTACTACACGTATGTATATTATATAGTCACTTATTACTAACGAAAAGTTGTTCCATTATTTCACTCAATTTTTGCCGAGATCTACCGCACGCTACACAATCAACTATTTTAGAGTCTTTTTCGATAAATCGCGATAGTGTCACTGTTAATTTAAGTTCTGCCACAATTTCCATCTAGATTTACTACCTTTATATCAGTAGTAGAATAAATAATAAATAATATAAAATAAGCTCCGTAAAGACTGACAAATCCACAAAATTTCAAATCAAATTCAAATGTGTCAAATGAATCGTCAAACAGAACTGTCAAGGATCCCCACCCTGAAGTTCTTTTTCCGCCCACCATGCATGAATACATGGATAGCATTATGCTCCTTCCTTAGTCTTCTTATTCAAAGGCTGTAAGTGAAATTGTTTAAAAATGATAAGAATTAACTATAACTCAGTCATTTTTAGAAAAAAACATTATAGCTTATATCGCTGAAAAGCTTAAAAAATGACGCTTATTATGATGTCATGGCCAACTATGGTTTCCATTTAAAAAAAAACATATGTTTATGTCATATGTCAAAAATAACAGACTTTAGAAAAACATTGGAGAACACAAACTCATCAGGAATGTGATTATCTACAACTTTTATATGAAAATTTTCTGTCTAAAATAGCTTATAATGGAATTAGGGACAATTTTTAAAATAGCCAAAATTTTATTTTTTTAAATATCTAGTAAGCCATGAACTTTTTCAAAAATCTAAAATGTGCATATTTATGATCCCACAAAACTGCAATTCTTTCCCCATTTAACCGACCCTCTATCTACAGTAGTTTCCGAGATACCTATAGAGAACATCGTAGGAAACTCACCCTCTATATTATATTTTAACACAATTTCTTACATTTTATGTTTTAGATAATGGAAGAAGCTCACGTCGATTCCGTCATGATGCTCGGTGAAATATTCCGAACCGAGGGCGCTTACGATTTCGCACAACAGAATCTCACGTATAGAATTCAAAATCTGGCTCAAACCATGCTGGTTCATCGTTTGTGCCCTCCCCCCGAAGAAGTTTACTCCCTACACAGAAAGTTGTCGGGCGTATTTCTGCTGCTATCCAAGTTAAAAGTAAAAGTAAACTGCAGAGATAAATTTTTAGCGTTGTACGAGGAATACATCCGCAAAAATTGACTCAGTATTGTCTCCAGGAAGTTTTTAACAATACTAATATAGGTGCTAGTCTGATTGTTATGTAATAAGATTATTTATGGATTTTATTTTTAATAAAGATTGTTAACAAAAATATTTTTTCATTTGTGGAAACCCGGAAAATCGGTTCTGTATTCTGAGTCACTATTTTTGGGGGGTTTTTATATTTTATATGACATTTTCCACTGTAAATTTTTATTAAAGCCACCCAATGATTTTTCTCGTATTTTACCGTTGAAAGAGCCATATGAAATAATCGCGAGGATTTGCGATGCGAGGATCTGCGAAACCGCTAAAAATTTTGAAATACTCTAAATACAAAAAATGTTCATTTTATAATTCTACATTTATTAAAAAAATAATATACAGGGTGTTCCCCTATAATTTAGAATTTTTTTAGAACACCCCGTACGATTTAAGATTACGATATTTATGGCAAAGTAAGTACAGACCATCTAAAATAAATACTTAATTTAGTTTTGATTTCAAGATAGTTCTTGAATTTTTAATATTTTTTTAAGAAGGGCTGAGAAATACATTTTTTTATAATCTATGAAACTATTGAAATATATTTACTAATATCTTAAGATTATGTAAAGTGGTCTGAAAGGAAGCCAAAAATGCAGTAATATACAGTGTGTAAAATATATCCCGATCCACTCACTTTTTGAGCCACCCTGTAGAACTTAAAAAAATTGCCAAGTTTTTTAATCTAGAAGCTACAGATGCCGACTCACCTTCCCCTAGGAGACGCAAGACCTTGTCGTTGGTGGGAAAGCTTCTGGTCAGGTGCTGGGGAGAATCCCCCCTAGCGCTTGGCTTGGTCTAACAAGCATCTCACTCATCGTCTTGTCCCTCCCTGGCTGTTGTGTCGTGGCCAGGGAATGAACCAAGACATATAACGATGCCGGACGGGGCTACCCCTGTTCGTCATATCAGGCACCCTCTACTGACTGTGGTCATATCTCGCGGGTAGAGGGTGTGGGGGTCTTGGCTTAACCGCCTGGACCAAGAGGAGACAACCTTACCAAATACCTAAATCCTACGATGGCGGGACCAGGTCAAAGGGATGCGTTGCTAGATAGAGGACTAGCCATTACTGGCTTCAACCTTGGGTCATCAGGGGGCACCCCATTGTATTTACCCCTTACTTCTGCATGCGGGGCTCAGTAGAAGTGGACCGACTATCCCTAGCGACTCGTGGGAACACTATGAGATCTAGTATTAAAAACACCACCGGTGAAGCTGTTTATTGCCGTGACGCACTAGTGCCGCCCACTAGCGACACTGGGGACATTACAAATGAAAGTTCCAAGGGACCAAATCCAAAGGAAACTACAGGAGGGGCGGCTGACACTTGCTTGGGATCATCCTCCACAAGTGGCACACAAGCTACCACCTTCTCCAGCAAGGGTTGGGAGCCTACCTCTAGAACCAATAAGCGACATAAGCTACCGTTTCGTCTACCCGGCCTGGGTCAACCAGGCGGGCTATACGATCCTCTGAGAGTAGGTCTTAGTGGAGCAGAAGCACGGAGATACCTCCGACTGCTCCACGAAGGACTTGCTCCAGAGGAAGCAAAAGCGAAAACACTCCTCCGAAAAGGGGAGAGTAAAGAAACCGAGAAACAACCTGACTCATCTCCATCAAAGGGCAAGGGAGGGAGCCAGAACCTTTCACCTCTTCTCCGGCAGGGAGAGAAAAAAGCCAGGATGGAAAGCCGTCCAACACCGGGATGAGGCAAGCAGGGACGTATCACCAGCTTTGCTACTATTCCTGGACAAGTGAAAATGGGGTGCTGCCAAAGGATTTCCCAGAGGTTGCTCTGACCACCGACCAGCAAACGTCTCTAGAAGAGGCTCTACTGGACGAAGTAGTGGCGATCGGATCGCAACACAACGATCTACAAAATGTGTGGGTCAGCTGCGTTTTGCGGGGATACACTTTCGGGTGGGCATGATCCTCATAGATTGTGTATCTCAAGAATCGACGAATTGATTGGTGAAAATCGCACCTAACCTTAAAAATTGGCAAGGGCCGGAAAAATTGACAACGGCCATAACGGTCTTTCTGCCGAGGAGCAAGGGGAAAGACACCACTTACCTGCTGAGCCTTATCCAAAGTCAGAACTCATGGTCAGGTCCTCACAATAGGAATTGACCTCAAATCCAAGGAGGCAATAGAGAAAGAGGGACATATCCTCTATTATAGATACGGGACAACACCGGTATCAGGTCTAAGGAGAGACCAAGTTAAAGAGGTGGAGAAAATGGAGACAGATCCTCCAGCCTCCACCTCACGGATTCCTCAGCCGGAGGCAAGCCCCTCGACTGTGAAGAGCGGCACGGAGAGCCAAACTCCAACCGTGGAAGGGTGTGTACCCTCGGAGGAAGAACTGTTGTCTGTTGAGATGAAAAATACGATTATTATTCTTTCTTTCATTAAATTTTCATCAATGTATTTGGATTAGAGTGCGATGAAAAATTTAAAACGTTAAAAACATCGAATTTGTGTGTTAATTATAAGAAATTTGCAAACTTTTCAAACGGAATCGTTATGCAAATTGTACACCATTGTTCTTAAATTTCACCAGTCCAGCGCGGTTTTGTTATGCCGGTGGATTTAGTCATTTAGTGAAAATGCCATAAATTAGGAACCCGACCAGACGTATCATATACGCATATGTGCGCAATGTATTTTTCGCTCAACTGCATTTCTAACTTGAAATCAAATATACAGACGGCATTCTCCTTTGTTAGTTAAAGCGGATTGAAGAAAAGTATCAGAATACTAAAAATGATGTCAGTGGTGTAGGTTACTTTTAATATAGGATAAGGGAAATCATTTCTTAGATAGGTACCTTTTCTTATGTATTTTTCAGAATATTTTGTTTTATACAGGGTGTTCTTTAGTGACATGCTAATATTTAGGGGGGTGATACTTTAAGCTATTTTAAGAAAAAAACTTCATATGAATGTATGTCCTAAACATCTTAACTTTTGAGATCAAGAGTGGTAAAATTTTCTAAAAAAATTTAATACAGTTTCTGATGAAATTTTGACAAAAACATTTATGATTTCAGTCTAATAGCTATTCAGTCAACATGTTTAATTTATGTCAATGATGACAGGTATTGATAATTTCGATTCCAAATATCTCGAGAACCATTACTCGTTACCATTAAGTCTGGAAATTACATCGTAATTCGGAAATTGTTGAATTTAGGTATTCAACAATTTTCAAATTATGAAGTTTTGATTTTGAAATGTTAAACGAAAATGTCAGAGTATCTGGTTAATAGAAAAATGTATTTTTTATAACTGCTATTTCAAAACATCCACTTTGATTTTAATGCCTTGCAACTTATTTTTATAGCGTGGGAAAATAGTTCAGCTGGTTGAAATGTCTTTGAACGGAATGTGATATAACTCCGCCTCTCTGTCAGGCAAGTTTCGTTACATTTTACCCAATTCACATTAGGTAAATTAGTTTTGGACGGTCTGCTGTTCTCTAGATCGTTCAATGTGTCATTAGTGGTACTAACTGCATCGAGGGTAACGAGTTAATTTTACGTAACGTGGAAACTTGCCTTAATATCTACTATCTACTTGAGCCATAAATATATTTCTTATAAATGTAGACGATATTAAGCATAGAGTTAAAAAATAAATCATATACAGGGTACGGCAATAGTGCCTCGGGCATCTGTTGCTTCTAGAATAAAAAACTTGGCAATTTTGTTAAGTGGAAACCTAAAGCATGTACTAGGATGTATTTCAGGAAAATATTTTAACTTCTATAGGGTGGCTCAAGAAAGTGTGAGTGGATCGGGATGGATTTTTAAACGGAACACCCTGTATATTCTTGCATTTTTGGCTTTCTTTAAGATCACTTAACACAATCCTGACATGTGAGTAAATAGATGTCGATAGTTTCAGAGATATTAATAAATAAATAAAATATATAATATTTTTTTCGGCCATTATGTAAAATGATTTAAAAGGAAGCCAAAAGTGCAATAATATACGGGGTGTTCAATTTAAAAAAAATCATCCCGATCCACTCACACTTTTTAAGCCACCCTATAGAAGTTAAAATATTTTCCTGAAATACATCCTCGTACATACTTTCCACTTTAACAAAATTCTCAAGTTTTTTATTCTATGACCTACAGATGCCCGACGCACTTTTGCCGGACCCTGTATAATCATATTTTTGATGATATACAGGGTGCCCCAATATTCCGTGTACTAAAAAACGCCACCGCGGGAACTTTTTTAATGTAAATTTTATAATTGGAAATGGTTGAATAAGCTGAGAATGATGATGGTGATGATGGTTAGTTTATTTATTATTTACTTACATTTTAATAGTAAACAATATAGAAGTTCAACAATACAGTTTTACTTCAAAATCTTGTGTATTAAAGACCGTCATAACCATATAAAGGGTGAGTCTTGTAGAATGTGTAGAATGTATAGAATGTTTAGGAGGGGAGTTAATCACCGCGACCTTATAGATCTATTGTGTGTTCCCCTTTCTTGAGTTATAACGAGTTATAACTAATCATACAGTCTCAGGGCTTTAACAAAAGCCAGTATCTGAGACGGCTCCACAGAGGCCAGCTCTCCATCCTCGACATCAGACGTACCAAGGTTCATGGCACGAATGGTCGTCGTCTCGGCGCACTCAGTGATAAGGTGTTCTGGTGTTTCCCCATTTTCCCCACAAAATCTGCATTCGCCGTTGTTTCTCAGTTTTCGAAAACAGTTTCTCAAACCTCGTGACAATCCGAAGATTGTTTATACTTAAATCAAGGAAAACCTTTGATTTTTCTCGGTCATAAGTTCTAAGGAACTCTTTCGAGTGTCTTAGACCGTTGGAGGATTTTCCTCGAGTGTCTAGACCGTTGGAGGAATTTGCATTCCAAGTTACGGATGGAGTCTTCCAGATTCTCCAGTTCCGCTTTCAGTTGGTTCCCGTTTGGAAAACAGAACGGTTCTGGTCCAGTTAGTGGAGTGTTCGCTCCTTTTCTAGCTAGATCATTTGCTTTTTCATTGCCTTCTATCCCTTGGTGAGCAGGCACCCAGAGTA